CATAATCAAAGACATAATCGATTACATAATAAATTCCATTTAAGATCTGACACCACATCAAGTATAGCTATTCATCAATCAAGCATACTTGATTCAACTACCATCTTCTCATGCTGCCTCACAAGCATGATTGACTGACGACATCAGCTGACATTGACAACATCAGCATAACCTCAAAGCAACACAGTAATATCAATAGACGTTTTCATAGCATAAGAATTACAAGAACACATCTTTTGAATAATACACCAGAATTATTTATTTCTACACAACAGTGCAATATTATTATAATTGTTTACACTCATTAAACCTTGTTTTAAAATAAATATATTATATTTTTCAGCCTTGTCCGTTATTGATTTCCTTTAAAATTATCCTGCCGAGAGACTAATCCACTGAACTATTGAATTGGCAGTTCGAGCCATAAGCTAACCCTTTAAATCCGAACATCTCATAATTTAAAATATACTTTTAATAAATATAAAATATTTACCAAAATGATTAAATATTATGAAATTATTTAATATTTTCAAAAAATTATAATATTGATATTAAAAAATTTAATTATTTAAAGTAAAAAAACTAATCAACAAGATAATTAACTTTGAAACAAAAAATTAAGTAATTTTGAAAAAAAATTGTAATATAAATTATATTATGATAATAATATAATAAAATTTGTAAGATATAATAAAGAATAAAATCTCATATTTTCTTTGTAGATCAATGATATTAAGTAGAAGAATAAACGATGATGATCAAAGAGATGGGTTTAATAAATGGCCATTCATGACTACTCATACCTGGGGCGAGTATCCGCAAGGGACTTGGCTACTTGAGGTAAATTATCTACTGCAATATTTTGTAACATTTTATTAAGTATATTTTTTAAAATTATTTTATTATGTTAAAAGTAAATTATATATGTAATTTATATTTGCTGTTAATATAAGCAAAAAAATTATTAATAAATAATAAATTAATACATACGTGAATAATTTATTTAAAAAATATAATTCACATTATATATATATTTTTTTTTTTAATTTAAATAAAATGTAAATTAATACTCATTAATATTTTTGAATGATTGAAGAATGCTAAATTGATATTATAATCTATATTTACAAATACTTGTAAAATATATTATTTTACTATGAAAAAAAAATTTTATTTTAATAGATTGTTGATATTTTGAATTTATTTTATTTAATGAAGATGGGAAATTATTTATACATTAACCTCAGAATATTTTTAATTATATAAATATTTAAAATACTATACATATACATTATTTTGTTTTTCAAGTAATTTTCAATGTTTTAAAAATAATTACATTTGTAAATAACCTAATTATATTCATTGACTATATTGTTCATATTCTAAATTTATTCAAAATAGTATCATAATATACAATTTACAATAATTTAAATATAGCTGAACTTTCAAATAATAATACGGTAACTAAAAAATAATTATAGTCATAAATTATGCGTGTATGCATTTAATATTTTTAATAATTAATTCCCAAATATAATATTTTCATTAATGTATATTCTTATTTTTATAAGATATAAAGTAAAATATCAAATAATAAAAATATTTTATTTAGGTGAGTTTTAACTCGCAGTTGCCACAACACGGTTGGATTCATGAATTTACATTGATGTTACATGGCACTAAAGAGCCACCTTATGCCGGGCTTTCAACTGCAGATCCTCATTCGAAATTAGCAATTGTTAAGAAAGCACACGAAGAGCATAATACCGTCATGTAATTCATCGCTATATTTCAATCGATTTTTGTCTTTATTAATTACTTATCAAAATAACTAAAGAGAAAATAATATAAGGACATCCACATTTCTTATCTGATTTTATGAACCATTTTACAACTGTTTCTACCTTTATATTCCATATTTATATTGTGTAATTCTTTCTGTTCTTTTATATGAAAACTGTAATACAATTATAGTTCATTTTCTCCTTTTATCTTATTATCTTTAAAATTTTATGAAAGTATTGTATATTAAATAATGAGAAATAAAATTATATGAAAGTATTGTATATTAAATAATGAAAAATAAAAATTTATTAATTGAAAATAATTCTTGAGATAATAAGATAAAATTGATCAATTTAATTTAAAGTTTGTGTCAATAATATGTATCATGATTTGAGTATTACAAGAATGAATTAATTCTAAAATTACAAAAATTAATAATATAGAGATATAAATAACTAAAATTCCACACCTGCAAAAATCTTTTCGTACTTTCTATGTCTTCTGATGATTTACTATTTAGTCATTTCTTATATACGTATGCGTCCTATTGGAAAACTTTGATAAAATAGATAAACAGAATAACAATAATGTTAATTTTGAAATATTTGAAATTTATTACATTGAATGTCAAAGAAACATCAAACAATATTTAATATTAATAAAATTTTATTTAAAATATTTGATTGAAAAATGTTTATATAATAAATCGTCAATACAATGGTGAGTAAACATGCATGAAATTCTATTCTCCACGGTCTATTCAAATATATTATCGTTTTATTCTAATACAGTTATTTTATTTATATTGAATATAAATTTATAAATTTAAAGGAAGAATTTATCAAATTTTGTATGAAGTATGGAATCCTTCCCTACTTGCATAAATATTTATTTATTCAAAGTTTTCAAAATTTGAAATTAATTAGTAATAGATCTAAATTATTATTATAAAAAGTATTAATAAAATTTAATGATATAATGACCCATAAGGCATGTACTCTTCATAAATAATTTTGTTTACTAATACCATAGCAAATAAATTCAGTACTTTTTATAAATGTATTTTATAAATATATTAAATGATTAATTTTTATAAATATTACAAATATAATCGTTCTTCAAATTTTAGATTTTTTTAGCATATTCAAATGAATAAATATTGAAATTTACAGCTAAATTCCGCGCAAAAGTTAAAGATATATTAAGAACAGTTTATAAAAAAGAAATGTAACTAATTAGAATATGGTAATGAATTTTTAATTTCAAATAAGTTTAGGGGTCTGCAGTTTATTATATATTTTTAGTGTATGATTAGCGATTCTATTGGGTAATTCACTTAGTTAATTCAATTTATTTAAACTTAATACATCAATTTACATACATTGATTTTGTCAAAAATATTTAAGTAAAAATATCAATTATACAGCATTTATTACAATCCTAACTATTTATTCTTATATAATATTTTACTTAAACAATGTATTTTTACGTAAATTTTTATGCATTGTATTGTAAAATAAAAAATGTATAAAAATGTAAAAATAAATAAAAATTGTTTTTGTCCTGTATTGTTTTTATTTTTATTTAATTTAAATTACATTATAAATGTACCTTTTTATTAATATTTGAGTTTGTTGATTCTAGAATTTAGCAAAGTTAAACTTTATCAAGAATTTTACTTACATATGATTTATTTCTGAAATACAAGCAGTTAATAGTTAAGAATTAGGGCTGTATTTAAACTTAAATAAATTTCTTATATATAATGAATTCATTATATAGGTAGTATAGTTTTATAAATTTAAACACTTTTTAAATTACAATAAATATTTACATATGAGATTGAATAATATATTTAATTATATAAACTAATTTTATTTTTAAACACGCTGATATTTAAAAAAAAATTCTGTAAACTTTTAAAGCACTGATGATTATTATATTATTCATTATGCAAATAAAAATTTCATTTTTGAGGAATTACGAGAACCCATAAGTTTTGGTAAAACAAAAATATGCTTTTGAAAAGAGATGCAAACAAAAATGACAATGTTTATCATTATAAAATAATTCCTTATATCAGTAATATTTATTTATTAAGGCTTATTTTATTCAATAAATTATTTTTAATAATTAAAATTTTTAAATTTATTTAAACGTATATAATTTATACAAAATATATTTCCTAGTTGATTTATCCTAATAAAGTTTGGATCATTTTTTCTATTTACCCTTCAGTTATCATGCGATTTCTTTCACACTCTTTTACAATTGTTTTTTTTCATATAGCTTCACAAGTGTCATAGAATATATAGTATATTTATAAAATTTTTATTGTGAACAAATTTTTTAAATAAAAATTTATAATTTAATTTGCAACTAAATAATAGTAATAAATGAAAGTTTAATAAATATACTTCAAACAATGGAACACAATAATACTAAATAAAAAAAAAACTTTATATATTAAATTCTGTTATTAGGATTTTTTTTCAAGTATGTAATAATAAAATTAATAATAATACAGAACAATCGTAATTAAGTAAGATTTTTATTTAACAGATGATATCTTTTTCCTTTATTTTATACTAAAAATTATATTAAAACTTATACATATTATATATTATTTTGTATAATGCATATAATGAAAAACTTAACATATATTATTTTAGTTTCTTTAATTTATAAAGTATTAGATTTTCTAGTCTTTATACATTTGTAATATTCTTTTGTAAATAATTAAGCTTAATAAATACAAGAAATCATAAATTGTCAAAGATTATGTACAAAAATATAAAGCATTGTTTTAATATCTATCAGAAATATATTTTAATTATACGATTAAATTTAGAAATTAAATCATTTAATAAGATTACCCTCAAATTTTAATAAACTGATTACAAAAATATATCCTTATGACAAATCATGGTATAACTAATATATCGAATAATAGTAATCTTAATTATGGTGTAACTATAGTTTAGAATCTTTTTTCTATCAAAAATTAAAAATATATTTTTATTATGTTATTATTAATTTTACTATAGATATTGTAATTATACATATAAAGTCAATTATATTATGTTTGTCTATAATTACAACTTTATTAAATAAAGTATTTTTCAAAATTTAGCTTGCCTTGTAAATTAATCTTAATTAAATGCACGAGTTTTTTTAGTAATTAGGGTGAACCGTACCGAGCATTTATTGCATTCAAAACAATAAAATATATAATATTTTTTACAATGTATTTTTTACAATTTTATAAGGTGTTTTATATTATATTAAAAGAAATTGTTTTAGATTAAAACAGTTTAATGCATACCTATATGAAAATAAGATTTGTTACTATTTAATATATTCCATACTGTAAGTTTTCTAATCTAGATGCTTTATTATTTAATTTCATTTCTACATCGTGTTATTAAATATATACTGTAATAAGTAAAAAAATGTATATAATCGAAATGTATTACAAAAATAAAAATTATAAATAATTTATTTTTTAATAATTATTAAACTGAACTGAAATAACTTTTAATAATAATTAAACTGAAATACATCAGAATATACATTTACAAAATTCTTTAAAGAAATAATTTTATAAAAAAAGATTTTATAAATGTACCATATGTTATCCTTATACAAATAATATTATAAAATAATATAATATTTACTTGACTAACAATTAAGATAAAAATTTTAATTTTTGAGTAGGTATTATGTATAGTTTTAAATACAACTAAATCTTGCTTTTAGTATTTTCTATAGAATATTCGGTTTTGTTTCTTTTGTATAAAGATAATTAATTGCTAATTTGTTAATCCACATTAGTTAATTTAGTATTTACATTTATTAATATAAATTATACATTATAATATTATAAAATTTTAGTAATATACTCTTTAATATTATTTAACTTTAATAATAAACAATATATTTTTTATAATTATAATTGTGTATATAAAAAATAATTTGTAGGAATACTTATGTTTAATGCAAAAAAATGCTTTCTTTATTGTTATACGAAATATTTTTTTTTTTAGAAATGCTTAGAAATTTAGAATATTATTCTATAATTTATCACAAATATTTCATCTGTATTTCCCTTGAATTCTATTTAATCATACCAGTGATTTCGAATCATAATTAAATTATTATATTTTCGTATTTTCAATGTATTTACAACTTATAAATTTACTTTGCAAATACGTGTTCCGTTGCTATCGAATTTGAAACTATTGCAAGCATTATTTACTATCTGTAACACAGGTTTAGACAACTGAGTTTGCGCGTAAGTACAAGCGACAGTATGGTGGGAGTCATCGCATGTACTATCATCTATCTTTTTTTCTTTACTGTTGTAACAAACCATTCTGTAGTAGTTTCACATGTTAGAAATCAGTTATTTATTACACGTCAGACATTCATTTTATTTTTCATTTTCGTATCGTATTAACTTGAGTCTGTGTTTTGTACTTGATTATAGCATTCCTTTGGAAAGTTATATTAGACCAATTAATTTATTATTTCTTTTCTTCTTTTAGACTTTCCCAGTGCTTTAAAAATAGTTATTTTTTAATTTTATTACCAATTTTAAAGCATCCTGCTATTTGAAAAACACAGTAAGTCCCTTACAATTTTATTAGATATCATTGCAAAATAATTAAATACAATTGTTTTTGCCATTTCTTTTCTTCTTAAATTTATTCATCAAGAATTAAATTTTTTTCATCAGAATAAAACAATTCTATATTATATTTCGAAAATATTTCGAGAAGGGGTTTTTTATAGGGGGTATTTTATTTAAGAAGGGGTAATTTTATTTAAGTTTCTACAAGTTATACATTAGCAATGAGAAAGTGTTATCTTTAAACAAATTTAATAAAGAAAAAAGCTTGACAACTTAAATGAGTCCCCTTGCATATTTATTTGTTTTCATTCTTATTGTTTATGTAATAAATATTTTGATGTACTCGAGTTAACAATTTATATTTATGTTTTATTTCTAATAAATTTCATGCTTTTCCTCATAAGAATCACATAAATATATGAAATAACAATCATATTGTCTTTCATATTTTACACAATGTGCTACATAAATTGGTAAATTCATAACACTTTTATCGATTAAAACCATTAGGATATGCTGTGTAATAATTGGTATCTTTAAATTTAATGTAAAGTAAGCAAAGTAAATCTATTAAATAATTATAAATATTATAATTTGACAAAGAATTGACCTTCTATAATTTACAGAATATATTTATTTCGATAAATAGTGTATAGATAAAAATGACTTAAAAATTATATCATTTATGTTATTTTATATATAATATAAAATTAAATTATAAATTTCAATCATTCCTAGTTTTGATAATTTATATAATATAATATAATATATAAAATAAAATTATATATAATTTAATATTATACAATATTATAAAAATTACTATAGATAACAACAAAATAAAGTACATCTTTTTTCGTTTTCAAAAAGAGTAATGATTTAAAGTTAAAAATTTTAAAAACAAAATACATATGTGAAATAAGAGCTAATGAACTTATATGTGCAAAATAATTCTTAATTAAAAATATTATAATCGAATGAAAAATGCATAAAGATATGATATATATTCTATAATAATAAAATAAAAATTTCAAAGCATATTTTATATAATTAATATAGTTGAAGAATATTTGATAGATAATTATATAAAATTATTTTTACTATGTTTCAAAAAATCTTTATACAGTACACAATAAATTTAACTGTAAAGTATTTTTCATTTTACAACAGCTCCAAAGAAGTTATTTGAATTAAATTAATTTTGTCAATAAATATTAATTAAAGTTTGAAAATATATTTAATCCACATATATACTTAATACATAATTTACTTTATATTTCATTAAAACTTTATGTAAATTATTATTGAAAATTATTATTTATGATCCACTGATCCATTAAGTTATTTTAAGTTGTTTTATTTATGTTACATGGACTGAGTACAATCAATAATCTACTTATAAACTGTACAATAAGTATTCAATTTTACGATATTTATATTTCATAACTAATAGTACGGTGTAATACATTACTAATAACAACTTATCTACTTTGACATAATCATGTTTTATATATAAAGAATTATTGAATATAAATTAAAAAATATTTATATACATTAACAATGTATTTAAATTCTATTAATACATCATTACTTAAAAATTAGAAACAAAAAATAAAGGGAAATAATTGTATTATTTATATATATTCCAATACATATTATGATTATAAAAGGAAATTATTACAAAAATACATTAAAATTATACCACATCTATTAAACGTTAAGTATAATATTTTTTACATAATAATTATCTTTATATTTAGAGAGATATTTATAAATAACACTTAAATATATTTAAATAAAAATCAATTTGATCAGAAAAATTAATATTTACTTTTTATATAGATTAATGGGCATTTTCACAATTGATACGCATTTATATAATAACTTCCAAACGAATTTTCCAACGATACATTTATGTCAATATATATTAATTTGTGTGTAAAATATAATATTCAAATAATTTTACTTCTCTATTTTAAAAGAATGATTATTAAAAAAATTCATTTTTTAATTTTCATAAATAATGTATTGGTTATATCAATTTGAAGATGTGGAAATAATTTTGGAATCTAATATAACAAACAGTGAAACATATGTACTTTATTCAACCCGTGTTCAGAATCTAAAAGTAATTAACAAAAGAGTTTACGGAAAAACAGCAATCACAATTACAATTTTTTAATCGGCATTTTTTTATGTGCTAATATCCACACAAAAATATCGTATTTACTCGATCGATAATACAGTGCAAGCGGCATCAGTAGTTCTTAAAATAGAAGGTTTAGAGCTACCTGGGAAATGTGGCTTTGTGCATGGTGAATCAGAGTTAAAGTGTATACAGAGTCCCTAGAGCCTCCATTGTCCTTACACTTTCAGCCTGGACAGGGTGTGCACCGCCCTTTGAGCCCGTGCAGTCTGTGTGCCGTCCGGATATCGTTGGGATCTGCAGTGGGTCAACCCCAGCCCAATGCCGCCCCCAACAATGCTCATCATCATCAGCAGCAGCATCAAACACCGCGTGATCAAGGAGCCGGACAATCATATGAGGTGAGCATTTTTCATGTATTCACATAAGTATGGAAAAAAGCTCTAATTTTGTTTTGCTCCAATGCTCATACGGACTGAATAAGGAATCTCCGAAATACTTTTTCAATATTTAATAATATTTCTAAATTTTAAAAGCACTAATGAAACACTACGTGTAAATACATATCCCATGAAAAAAATATGGAACACTTCATATTTAAAGATATATAAAAAATTTGATTGATTAACAGAACAATAACTCTCCATAATACTGAATATGTGAATATCAGGAGCAGATATACAATAATAAAATATTATGTTCTAAAATAAGTATGAATATATATAATTAATATATCACTGATTTTCGTTCAATACCAGTTCCAATTATAAAAAATACCCTTATAGTTTTTGGCGTTTCAGAATAAGTATTCAAAGCATAGTAAAACGTCTAGATGAATAATACCAATAGTGCCATTAACAAAATATTAAGAAATCTTATTTCTATTTCTGTTACTTTAAAATGGTGATCATAAATAAAAAAAAATAGAGTTCACGATTAAGTACTCACGATAAATTTGCTCGAGAATATAGACTTCGCATTATAATTAAATTGAGTAAATGAATAGGATTGATATAAGATAAAGAAAAAAATTACAATATATTAATTTAAAATTTGATAACATTTGATGCTGGATATATTTTTGTATTTTAAAATGTTGTTGAGCATTTTATGTAGGTTAGTATTTGTATAAACAGACTTGTTTGAGCGAAACTTATAAAAAGATATTTTGGAAATAAAATATTTTCAAAAATATTCACTTCCAGATAGTTACGAATAAATATAATTATTAATTTATAAATATGACAGACGTATTGGTGTAGTGAAGTATTAGATATTGTACATTATTTTCCAATAATAAAAAAGGGCATATCATATTTCTATATAGCGTATATAGAATTATGTACAACATTATCTAAAAATAGAGTACCTGGCTAGCAGGGCCACATATCTAGAGTTAGGTGTAAACTCCCAGATGGTGGAAGGGAGAATTGCGGGCCAGTGGGCAGGATAGTGCATGTATCCAATAATAAATAGATTTGGTATTTGTTTTAGTTTATTGCGATAATTGCATTGGTTGTATTATAATGATTTTAGTTTATGCTTGAATGCCTTCGTTTCTTGCGTTTTGTATTACTATTGCCACAGAGCTGTAATGTGCGTTGCATGTACAGGTAGAAGGGCGTAGCCTTCTGGTTCTCTATATGTAATGCACGTGGTGGTGGTGTTATACACGTAGAAGAACAAGGTCGAAAACTCCTGTGCTTCCTTGTGCAGTAGCACGTGGCAGTAGCTTGAATTTGCCTGGGTATTGTCTTATTGCTTACGTTGAAGGCTCTGCAGATGTGCTCTTGGTGGCACTTCATCTTAGTCTGCAGATATTGCCGCGTGCGGTGCCTCGTAAGTCTATCTTGTGGAAACTAAACTTGCCCCTTATGCGTTTGCAGATTGTGTGCGCTTGGTCGCTCTGCAGTTCTTTACCTTATGAGGCATATTGTATATCATTATCGTTATTAAGGAATGAAACTTTACCTTATGAGTTCTGCAGATTTTGTGCTCTTGATGGTAGCTAGTGATGTCTGCAGGTTATGCCTCGTGCGACAGCTTGTAGTGTATGTTTTGTGTTTTTCTGGCTATACCTCGTATTGTTTGCTGAGTTTGCCTCGAACGGCTCCTTATAGGTTGTGACTATGTTGTGCCTTGTGCACCACTATTTACTTGTTCCTTTTTCTTTGTCTTGCACTGCTGCGAGTGTATGATTTGATTTGCACTTATCTTGCACTTGTTATGAGTTGGATATGACTAAACTTTGTCTCTTAATCGGTCTTTACTGTGTATGCCTACATTCTTGTTATTTGGCGTTCCCTTGGAGAAGCAGCCTTGCCGGCTTCTCTGGTGACAAGAGATTTCTGTGTACGTCTTGCTGGCGTCTTTCTTGAAGCCATTCTCTCGGCCACCGCGTGGCCCTTATGAATTTCATGCTTCTTGGCGTTTCCAATCAGAGCGCCTCTTTTTGGGCGTCTCCAATCGAATTGATCCTTTCATTATTGACGGTTCCAATCAGAGCGCTTCTTACTTGCATTCCCACCATGAGAGGGGGACTTCTTTGGCACATTTTCGCTTCACTATCCGAGCCACATGTAGCAGGGTTTGACAACAGCGTATGCATGCAGTGTTGCCTTTAATATCCCTTTTTTCGGATGTAAGACGAAGTGGTTTTTGCTTATATTTTTATGACTTGATTATGCCAGAAGTTTTATGACTTGTTTTGCTGGACACTTGGAACCTTGTTCTCGCCAGATGTGTTTATGAATTGTATTTTCTTTAGATATTCGAAGTTTTACTGAATTGTTTAGATTTAGTTAATCCGAGGCGCGTTTTGAATGTTATTTCTCGAGTATTGAGAGTTCGCCTTTTTCGGAACTCTTATCTCGAATTTTCCAGATGTTTAATGAGCTGGGAGTTTTCTTACATTCTTGAACAAACACATTGAGTGCTAATCAAACCGAGAGACTTTGAGTGGACTTGAGGAGACTTTGAAATAATCTATACAGGTTATTACGTACTTTTGTATATTTTAGACAGTACAGTTTGTATGAATTTTATGCGCCCGAAATCTGTAGATCTTTATTAAAATGAATATGTACGAATACCAGAAATTAATTGAACAATGTTTATACCATGAAGAGAAAGAATATAGTGTTACGCAAACTTGAGATTTCATTTTAATGAATAATAAACATTGCTGACTCGATAATCAAGAATCAATAAATATTGATACTCAATGTATAATTTAAAATTCAATTTGACATAGACTAACGTAAAGTTATTATTTCAGTTCATTAGTTTCTAATAGTTAGATCAATATATGTAATTTTTTGGAGTGGATAATTTCGGAACTTCAGAGAGAATAACGCATGAAAGCTTGTCATATTAAGTAGATAAATAGCTATAAAAATATTGATAATTTTATCAATATTTACTATGATAACTTTTTTATGATCATGTTATTGATCATAAACAATTGCATATATAAAATCATATACATATAATTATAAACATATTGCAAATAAATAAATGAAATACAGGTAGTCATATATTTTAATATAAGCATAACTATAAGCATCAATAAGATTTATTTAATTGTGCAAAATTATTTAAAAATGCAATTAAATAAGAAGAGAAATATTTAAATGAAAACAAATAGAAGAGTACATGTTGATAACAGTAGTAATACATTATTAGATCCCATTAAATAATTTAAAAAAAAATCGGTTATATAAAATAAAAATAATTGTATAATATTTACTTCTTCTTCTATTATTTTTATTTAATTATTTCTCTAAAAATTAATATAGGCAAATTTCAATAATTTTTGTAATATAATGACTTTTTGAAAATTTAATTTATTTTAAGGATGGACAAGGTCTCGAGGAACCAATGGTACACATTGAACGATCAAATCAACTTAATACTTGGATATGCTGTGTGCCATGTTACTGGCTGCGGCATAGTAAGGCTGTACACAAAGCATTTCTTACTTTTGCTATGTTACTCGTGACAAGTCTTTTGGTTACCAGTCCTGTACTTTTTCTTATTACGACATTACCTGAAGGAGAACATCTACGTGACTGTTCAACATTGGTTAGTAATTATTTTGAAATATCGAGCAAAAAACTATTGTTTATTTGAAATTTGAATTATATTTTGAATTAAGAATAAATATAATTATATTTATAAAATGATATAAATGCGCGTAATATGATTTTAAATAAAAATGCTATAAAAATAAATAGAAGGATATTATATTACTTAATATTAATTTATACTAAAAATCTTATTTTAATTAAAATCTATATTATACATATGCAGTAAAAAAATATTCATAATGAATTATTATATATTTCTAGAATGTTATTTCAGAATAATATATATTATGTATTTTATGTTATTTATTTTAATTAATTATGAATGTCTAATAGCACTATTGTTTCAAAAGAAATAAAAATCTATTATAAATTTGTGCAAATAATAATTTTTATTAGTTTTTGTCATGAATTTTTTTATAATACACTTTTATTCGTGTATCGCTAATAAAAATATTTAACATAGATTATTCACTGTCAATTTTGATATTGTAACAAGCATAAATAATATAAATCTTTACTTTTCTTGTTTTTATTTTTTTTGTTATTATTATTTTTTTTAATAAAAACTAAATTTTGGCTTACTAATATGTTTCTTAATCTAATAATTATATTGAAGTAGAACCAGTAGCAAATTAATTTAAAAATTTAAAAATTAGATGGCAATGGTGGTGGACAAATCCGTTGTATATGTATAATTTGGCTAACAGTAATTTAATTACAATTGCTGTTTATATTTTTTGCGATTATGTCATATACGTATCTATATTCATTGGTACTATTATTTTGTGCACATTTTACATATTCTGTATATGTATATTATAGTGGATTAAACAATCATTTGCAGTGTCAATGTAATAATTTATTTAATAATTGATGTATAATTAATAGAAATGAAAAATAATTTACAATTTGCTAAATTTATCTCTAAAAGTTTCAAAGTCATATGACCTTCATAACTGTATATTTATTTGTTTGTTTTTAAATTGAAATTATACATTAAAAAAAACATTAAGTGATATATCTTCTAATTGCCGTATGAATATATAAAATGATGTTCGGAATTGGAGTATTTTCCAAGACCTTAGGCTCTCGGTATTAATAAGTCTTCGAGCTCTTGAATTTCTGTAAACATCTGATTCCCAGAATTCTCAAAACTTCTAAAGCTTCATTCTCGAACGTCCCACAATGTTTATCTGGTTTTCGCATAGCAACGTTGGTTGGAATTCTCCAATCTTCTAAAGCTTTGCTTTCCCGGAGTTCTCGAATCTTCTAAAGTTTTATGTAGCAACACCTATGCATTGTTGCCAGTTAAGTAAGCTGCCGCGTGGATATTTAAAGCAAGCACACCACGAGACGAAGCAGTAGATTTTTAGTCAGTAATCCAGTCAGTCATGATATTCATCCATGAGGGGCTGTTCGGCCAACAAGCTACGCACCACACACTCTTAAGGTAAGGCCACCATAGAAGGAAGACGCGTCAATTATCCTGTGCTACAAGATAATAGCGTTGAAACAATCTCCTTCATATCAACATAATGCAGGCTACAACCAACATAACAAGACACACTTATATCAATGAGTATGCACAATTCATAGTTGATTCTTGCAAAATCAGCAACAAATCATTACCATCAACACGGAGCATACGGGTTGGTGAACCAAATTATCACCATCAACACGGAGCATTCGTGATGGTGAATCATTCATCACAGAATTATGTCAAGGCTACTGTATCTCTGTGAATAAAACAAGTTTAAGGCATAAATTATTGCTAATCCTTATAAGATTTGCACGACGCTATTATTAATATAGCACATAGCATACTCACTAATAAGGAATGTCCATAATCAGTTGCTAATCCATACAAGATCAACGACATCATCACCATCATCAAAGAGCATCTCGTGTAGGTAAGCTATTCATCACATGATCAGTTCCAAGTGACTGAATCGTCGTGATTGAACATAGTATACACGCTTCCATTACATAAATCCAACACATCAATAATGTAATTGTAAATAAACCATAATAAACCATATTTAACGAATAAACGCACATTGTATTAAACTAAAGCCCTTCCACTTAAGTCCTTCCCAAGCATCCGCTAGGACGGGCGACAAATTATTATAAATAATTAATAATTGATATAATGTAATGTTAAGTACTTAAGATTTAATTAAATTTCTTACTCTATTATTTAGGATGAATCCTGTCATAGGAAGCGAGATGGACAAGAGAGAGTCTGTGAGTCATTCGCCTGTCGTGAAGCTTCACGCCGTATGTTGTCTTCTATGCAACGAGATATTGATCCTTGCAAGGATTTTTATCAGTTTGCCTGTGGAAGTTTTCAAACTCATGAGCCAACTTCAAGTTTTAGTTTACTTCAGAAGCAAGTGGATAGTCAAATTCAAAGTAAGTTATAATTTTTGTTAGTTATTCTATAAGAGTTTGATAATCAATTATGACACAGGGTTTTTAAAATAAGTAAATAAATAAGTTTGTATATGAAATCCGTTAAATTATTATAATAGTTATATATCACAGCGATAAAATATTAAATAATATAATATATAAGGGAAATAATTTTATTTCTTCTTTTGATATTGCTTGTGAAGCAATTCTATAATGTACATTAAACATTCTTAGCACATATAAGAAGTGAATATTTGTAAATATTAATATTAATAATAATAAACACAAAAATAAATTGGATAGATAAATTCAAAAACTTTCAATATTGGAATTTAGATATTTTAAATAATAAATTTGATTCAAATGACTATTTAGGGATTTATACATTATGCCCATTTTAGTTTATTTTTAAGTAGATAAAATATATGAAGTAAATCTTACAGTGAACTATTGAATATAAAAATACAAATATCATTATCTAGTAAAATATCTTTACATTATCTTCGGAATTCCACTCGAGAGACGAAGGTAATTGGATTAGACCTCTTTGGAATTCCAGCCACCAGAATGGTCCGAAGACCAAGGTGGTTGCATTTGACCGTACCACCGGTTTAATGGAGATGGGGGGGGGGGGCAGTGAGAGCCTAATGCATCAATTCAGTATAAATACAATTGGTTTTAGTGACTTTTATTTAAGATTATGTTACATTGGTAGTTGTTGTTACCAATCTTTAGAAGAATTGTTGAGCTCTTCATGAATTTAACAGTTGTCAATAACTGTAGAACGTCGTTCGGGTGTGCAAGGTGAGAGTGGTCTTTTCATGCTGTCGGCGCTTTTTAATGTACTAGCGAAACATAACAGTAACTGTCGGAGCTTTAATGTACAAGCGAAACACAACAGTAATTATAGTATGGTTGTAGCTATCAAACAGTATCGGCGCCGTCTTCCGCGGTTTGACAATAATCAATTTGCTGAGGCCTGCCAGATAATGCCGGTGCTGTGCCGTTGTAATGATAGTGTAGCGGGAGCCACCAGACAGTATCGGCGCCCTCTTCAACGGTCTGATAAGAATCAAGTTGCAATAATAATATGTGATACAACTAGTTTGTTGGAGATGCCAGTCTATGTCGTCGCCCTCAATAGATAATTACTAATGTAAATAAATGAGTATACCTTGCAGGGATTCCCGTAGACGGGTAGAACTTTTCACTGGTATGACTGGCACTAGTTTCACTTGACGTACTCAACAAGACTAATTTTCTCCGTCGTCTGGTGCTCCTGATATATGATTGCGTACATTTAGCGTTGTAATTCTTGGGAACTCTGGTGAATTCTTGGAAAGCAAACCTCAGTAGATTCGAGAATCTTCCTTTGTTGCTATGCGGATACAGCATAAGGTTTAAATTTAATCGAGAATTTTCGTGGCAAATACTTCAAATATTACACATTAATAATATATATAAATGTAATGTGTTTGAAATTGAAGCCAGTTTCAAGACCGTCTATTGTCGGCATCGCCGGCCTTTTAGATCTCAGATTTCTGTAAACACTTGGAAGATACTTTTTCGTATACTTGTTATGTTTTGGTTTCAAATGGCCCGTAATGTTTATATGGTCTTCAGGTAATAACATCGCCCGAAACTTTCTGTCGGTATTACACTCTATTTTTTCTTTCGTCGAATTCTCGAAACTTCTAGATTTTTTTCTACGCCTCATGTAAGATTCCATTGAAGCAACGACGATGCTTTATTGCCAGCTAACTGAGCCGCCGCGTGGATATCTAAGGCAAGCACGCGGCGTGCCTCGCTCTCTTGCTAAACAACTCTCCTGCTAAGCATCTCTTGCCGTGACCCGCCCACAATGAACCGATCATAGTGAACCGATCTAACCATCTACCAGTAGAAGCCATGGCACACGGGTCTCGGTCTGCCCTCAGCAGGACCGTCATGGAACGGTCGGTTTTTTCAACAGAGCCGCCACGGAATAACCAAGCCTTCAGCTTCGTGCTTATAAGCTCATTGTTATTCTACCTCGCATTCACTCAGCTGTTATTATTACTCAGTATTTTAATATATTATGACAACGACACGTGGCCGCATATTCGGCAGCCTACTTAGAATTATACGTGGATTATCAAAAAGAAATCAGCAGATTAGGTAGTGATTTTACAGTGAAGCCATTTGGAATAGTAATCAAAAGGGACACATCAGCTACGCAGTAAAACACACCTTGTCGGCAGTTTACAAGATACATCTCTTTATATTATTAAATAAGCTAATCGCACACGAGCAAATTGAGTTTCATAAAACTCATCTTCAAGAAGTCGACAGGTGATAAAGTACGCTCTCTTGAACTAATACTTCGTCATCGTGCAGTCCCTCAAACAGTCCATACAATTGGCGCAACTTGTCAATTACATTGTCAAATCCAGACAACAATTCATAGAAGAATCGACAATAAATACATTTTCATCAAGCCTTCAATACTCGAAGACTTGTAATTATGAATTGTGCGTATGACTGGCTTTTTACTGCTCCCATAAATAACTAAAAACATGATTGATTACGCACCAATTTACATCAAAACATCTTACACTCTATCAAATATAGTTATTCCACCTATCAAGCATACTTGATTCAAATAGCATCTTCTCATGCTACTTCGTGAGCATGATTGACTACACAGGCTAATGTTTACATCAGCATAACCTCAACTTTCAAGGAAACACCCTCATTACTACAATAGAATAATCTTCTCTCTCAACAACAGTGCAATATTATTATAATATTTAACAAATAATAAACATTGTTTTTACTAAAAATACATAATACATAATATTTTTCAGCCCTTCCAATTGTTATTTCCTTTTAAGTTATCATGACGAGAAACTAATCCACTGAACTATTGAATTGGCTGTTAGAGCCATAAAACAAACCCTTAAAATCGAACATAATGGAATCATATTAAATAAAGCAATAAATTTTTCATTGCTGGGTAGTTCAATCCTGAACAAGACCATACCCACCATTTTACTAGTGTAAAAGTGGGAATGAGTAAGAGGGTAATGTATCAATTCAGTATAAACACAATTGATTTTCGTGACATTTATTTTAGGTTGAATTACAAATATGTAAAATGATTCACCGGTAATATTGAGAGTTGTTGAGATCGTCCTGTCGTCTTGACAGTTGGTAGAGAGAAAGTGTAAGGTCTCGTCCGGGTCTGCAAGGGAAGACTGGTCTTGCTGGGGGCGCATGGCAAATGGCGATGCCCCGTAGCAATATAAATGAGAATTACTTATTAGCAGTATACCTTGCACAGATCCTTCTTGACGGAGGCGTGGAGAAAAGGCGTAGAACTTCGCCGAGATATGATCGGGAAGACTTGTACTGCTGAGGGTGCTTGGTAGTAGTAGCGCCCCTTAGCAGTATTGCTTGCAATTGCTTGCACAAATTGCTCTAGACTCACTCAACAAAACTGTTTCTCTTCGACGCGCGCTGCCCTTAATACATGCGAGTGCGTTGTCGTTAGTCTGGCAACAATGCCTGGGTGTTGCTATGCCGAAGTTTCCCGCGTGACGTTAGATTTTCAGTTCCAGAAATTTCTTTCGAATTGTCGGAAGGCAAGCCTTCGCCGGTTGGAAACTACTACCGTAGTGGCTATGCGGACAATGAGTCAATGTTTACGATATTATGAGCTATAACGATTACAAATTTGTAGAATTGAAATTTTCATGTTCAGTGCTCCAATCGTGGACACATTAATTTTGACAATTAATCTGAATATCATGTCGGTTTTTAAATCTTTGCATTATTTAAAGAAAGCAAAAATCTAATTGTAGAAATGCTAAAATAATTATTTAACAAATATATGGTCAAATTTTATTATAAATCGTTTATATATCTTCGTCTTTGAACTGAATTAAAAATTCTAAAGTATATTATATAATAACTAAAGTATTTACAAAATAGTAAAAATGATTAAGAATTACATTTTTATTAATACTTGAACTTATATTACTTTTGTTATCAAATAATAGTACTATTATTAAATATGACTAGTGATTCATAAATTATTATTTAGTATGTTTTAATTTTATAATAAGTAAAAATATATATAAAATTTAACAAACTTTTATTAAAATTAAATTAAATAAATATAATTTGATTAGTTTATATTTGTAGAACTATATTGTATTAGTATTAAGTCAAATAGTAATTCATAAATTTATCGATCAATTTAAAAGAAAAATTATATTTTTCGTAATTTATTAATAAATTTTAAAAGTACACTTTTTTTAAGAAGAAATTAAATATTTCTTTTCAATAAACGGAGTTTTAGTTTACAGTATTAAATATTTAATCATGAGAATAAAACAAATAATCAAATAATGACAATATGCAGTAAAATATTTTTAATGCAAACCACTTTTTAATTAAGATTCATTATTAAAAATTAATAATTGTAAATAAATACAAATAAATTATAATTATTGTTTGGAATTCCAGTCATCCGGTGATCAGAAGACCAAGGTGGTTGGATTAGACCATACCATCGTTTTACTGATGGAAAGGGGGGGGGTGAGAAGTTAATGGATTAATTCAGTACAAGCACAATTGGGTTTCATGACTTTTATTTGAGTTTAATTTACAATTGATCAATGTTTTCACCGGTAGTTGTGAGAATTGAGGAGCTCGTCGTGATCCTGACAGTTGGCAGAGAAACTGCAGGGCACGTCTGCGTGTGCAAAGTGAGACTGGTCTTATTTGCGGGCGTGTTGTCATCGTAGCGCCCTTATGGCATTAGTATGGAAATTGCTCTCTCTCTCTCTCTCTCTCTCTCTCTCTCTCTCTCTCTGTATGTAGGCATATTGCCGTAGTGGTACCCTTTTACAGTAGTGATGGGAGTTAAATACGCTGGAGACATGTGGCCAATGTCGTAGCTCCATTAGCGAGATATATGGACCAGTCTCTTAGTGAATATAATGGATGAATATAATGGTTGGTAAACCCCATGATTATCCTTGCTAAAGGTGCATGTCAACTAGAGACGCCCAGTAGCGGTGCGAGTGAGTATCACTCTCGCTGAATCTGGTCGCGAGCGAGATGCGCCTGGCAACAATAGTATGGTAATTAGTTACGAAAGGCGCAAGGCAACAGGCAGCGCCCTCGTTGCGATCTGATAATAATGAAGTTGCAGAGGGCTTACCGATAATTTCTGTGCTGGGCAACAATAAATGCTATTAATAAATAGTATACCTTGCACATATTCCCGTAACAGATGTGTAGAACTTCTAATAGGTGTGACTTTTTCACTTTGACTCACTCAACAAGACTGATTTCTTCGACGTACGCTACTCTTTATATATGGTCGCGCAGACTTAGAGTCTCGCACTAATACCTTTGGTGTTACCTTGCTGAAGCGTTCCCGTGTGCCGAGACAGTTTAAATTCTAGGATAGTCTGTTAAATTGCTGAAACGTAAGCCTTTGCCAATTCGAGACTTCTCCGTAGTTGCTATGCGGATAAGTTGTAGAACTTTCTTAGGCAAAGGCTTCTAAATGTTTCTAAGAATTTTCTTGGTGAATTTTTCTGATATTGCGAATTATAAATATTTCAATTTTATGGAATTTAATTTTATTGTTGGGTGAACCAATCCTAAACAATTATAAATATAATTTTTAGTTCATATCATACTGCAGTTATATATATATATTGTATATAAGAACTTGCAACGCAATTTAATATTATTATATAAATTTTTGAAAATTGAAGAACATATTAATTTAAATTTTAATTTTTATTGTTATGATACATATATTTATAAATTATTCCTTAAATACGATATAAATTATAAAGTTATATTCGATTTACGCATAGATGTGTTGGGCCTCAGCATATTTAAAATAAAAAAAAGTCTTAATTAATCTTAAATCTTAATCACGTTACATATATCACATGCACTTTTAAAAATATATAAATACAACCCATATATAAAATGAAAGGACGATGAAAAACTGTTCAGGATTAAATCACCCAACAAAAAATAAGAATTTGTTGTTTGTTAAAATACGATTCCGATATATCACATTTAGATTAAGGCGCAATATTCGAATTATACGTTACAAAAATTCACTGGAAATTTAGCCGCGCACTTTGTCCGCATAGCAACAAAAGAAGCTTCTCGAACGTACTAAAGCTTGCCTTCAGAGAATTCACTAGAACTTCCAAGATTTACAACGCTAAATGTACGCAATCATATTTAAGAAGCAACGAATGAAGAAGAAAACAGTCTTGTTCAATTACTCAAGTGAAATTAGTGCCAGTCATATCTGTGAAAGTCGAACTCGTCTGAAGGAATTCGTGCAAGGTATATTATTATTATTCGATTATTATTATTGCTGGCCAGCTATCGATATTACTCACACTTGTCGTAAACCCTCGCCTCATGACTTTCTCGTGACCGCTCCTCGGCCTACGTCTAACCTATCATATTTATTAATAGACCCGGTCTAATTCTTGTTAGCAGAGCGAGACCTTAGCGATCATGCCACCCGGGACAAACGTTTCATGATCACTCTGGGCCCACGTCTACTGTATCAGAAAGGCCCTCCGACTTGATTATTATAAGACCGCTAAAGAGAACGCCGATCCTGACAGTAGACGCCTGCCTAAGTCTAAAGTTAGTACTGCGAGACATTACCGGACACGCCACAACAAAGTGGTTCTGATCAAACCACAAAGGAGGGCGACAGCTATTCGTAATAATCCCCACCACCGCCACGAGCCGAATATCAATCAATCAATTCCAACGTCGAGTCAAATGCGTAATCAGTCGTGAGCCGAATCTCGCTTGGTACGATTCGAGCGTAGCCGTAAGCGTCGAAGCTCTGCGAGCCGACTAATGCCCAATATAATTCAAGCGTGACTCAACGACACATGACTGTCGAATAAGAAAGACTCCGTTGATTTATAAGCTAGAATCCGAAATTATTACCTTACGAAGCTTGCACTCCCAGACAATGTTTCGACTTAATAATCAGCTGCTTAGTCACTACATTCAACAATTCTCACCACAATTAAGAACACCTACAATACTGTAACAACTACTTAAATAAAAGTCACTAAAACCAATTGTGTTTACTCTGAGTTGATGCATTAACCTCTCATCTACCCCCCCCTCCCATCGCCATTAAACCGTTGGTACGGTCTAATCCACCCACCGTGATTTGCGATCATACTGGTGGCTGGAATTCCAAACAAAAACCATGTAATAAATATAAAGCCCACAGTTTTATAGATTAGTGTAACTTTGCCTGATGGTTATCACATAAATTATTTCATGAAAGAATTGGTAAGTTCACGTTTTTTAGTGCTTTTTATCTTGCAATAAATCAATAATAGAATCAGAATTATGTTTTTATTATATGTTGAAATACGTAATAAAAACTTTATTGGATCAAAGTATCATATAATTTTCTTCATTTTAAAAATAATAAATAATTCGTACATATAAATAATATTAACAATAAAATATACCTACTGTTTACATTTTTTATTGAAACTAAATATTAATTTTATATATATTTGAATGTCATTTTGTTGATAATATTTGTTCGGATTTAAAGGGTTAGCTTATGGCTCGAACTGCCAATTCAATAGTTCAGTGGATTAGTCTCTCGGCAGGATAATTTTAAAGGAAATCAATAACGGACAAGGCTGAAAAATATAATATATTTATTTTAAAACAAGGTTTAATGAGTGTAAACAATTATAATAATATTGCACTGTTGTGTAGAAATAAATATTCTGTTGGATTATTCAAAAGATGTGTTCTTGTGATTTTTCTGCTATAAAGGCTTCTTTGGATATTGCTGTGTTGCTTTGAGGTTATGTTGATGTTATCAATGTCAGTCAATCATGCTTGTGAGGTAGCATGAGAAGATGGTAGTTGAATCAAGTATGCTTGATTGATGAATAGCTATACTTGATGTGGTGTTAGATCTTAAATGGAATTTATTATGTAATCGATTATGTCTTTGATTATGTACAAGGGACAGCAGTAGAATCTAGTCACAGGAAAAACAATTAGAAGTAGTATTTCTAATTCGTGGAGGATTTGATAATCCGTATCTGTAGAGTCTATTAGTCGATCTGTGTTGGTCATGTGTAACCAATGTGTGTGAACCACAGTGACTCTTGCGTCAGCTGTTCAGGGCCTGCACGGCTCCGAAGTGTTCTTCGGACGAGCGCTAGTGTGCCCTGTTTGTGCTAGCGGGCCTGTACGATGTCGAGTGGTTAGTTCGAGAGAGCGTAAGTGTGCCCGATCGACAATAGCGAGAGATGTGACTTGTTTATTTATTAATACAAAGAAGTACCTGGTGAACTGCAGGTTGGATGTATTCGATGCTGTGTATGTAATGTTCCCTTTGATTACAATTCCATTGGCTTCACTGTAATCACTTATTAAAGAATTGCCGATTATCTTTTCTATGCACGCGGGTACTCTTTACTATGCTGCCGAAAATATGGCCACGCGGCGTCTTTACAGTATACTATGCACTGACCGGCAGTTACGCTTGATGGAGAGCGAAGTGATTGTATGAATGAGCGTCGCCTCATGGCGCGTTGCGCTTAAATGTGCATGCGGCGTCTTCAGCGCCGGCAACAGTGTCGATGCGCGTCCCTTCCAGAAATTTTCCTTTGGCGTGAGAAAACGAAGCTTCTAGAAGTTTCGAAGGCGTCCCTTTTTTGTGAGTGCTGGCAGTAAATAATATTTCAAATCGTAAACTTGCTCGGACTTGCCGAGTTTTGTTTGTAAACATTTTCTCGAGTGCCCGCCTCGGTCCGCACGTGCGGATCAGCCTAGGCGCACGTGGTGGCCAGCCTTGCTGCACGCGCGGTCAGTCTAGGCGCACATGCGGTACGCCGGACTGCGTAAATGACCTTTCTTTTGTTTGAAATTCATGGGACTGCTTCAATCCCGAACAATATTAAAGTAAATATCTCTATAAATGGTTTTTTAAAATATTATATTTCATATTGTAAAACATTAAAATTATTTATTAATAGATTAAGAGTAATATTCGATCAACATTACACTTATATAAAGTAATATTAATTATATGCGATGTTTTCTTTATATAAATAAATAACTTGTTTTTCAAATATTTTAGGAATGCTATCAAATGAAACAGGAAGAATAAGCGGTGCATTCATTAAACTTGGCCAGTTTTATAACAACTGTCTTGAATTCAAAGAAAAACCTGTAAACTTTGCACCTGGTAGGTGAAACATTGTTATATAAAATTTGTATGTATTATTTTGATATTTGTATATTTACATATGTATTGATATATGTAATATTTCTCAATTATGAATGGTATTATAAATACTTTATAATATAAAATACTAAAAAGTAATTTATAAAGTACTTTATTTTATATATACTCGATATTCTATAAATTAATAGTAAATTTTACTTCACACAATCCATACATTTTAAACAATTATTTAAGTATTTACAATGATGCGTATATTTATTTTTATTTGATCATTTCATTAAATAGCATAAATTTCATTCATAGATTACCTTCATATTAAAAAAAAAGATATTAATAATATATTTTAAAGTTTTGAATAATAAATAGTTATCAATTTTATTTAAAATAATATATTTTAATAAATATACTGGAACGTTGCTAAATGCTATTCACAGATGAAGTTTTGTTAATTATATAAAGAAGAAGCTTATAATTGAAAATAATTGATTAGTTAATTATTGTAATATACTTAAAGAAATCAAATTTAATATTTGATAATAATGTCAATTATCTCAAAGTTTATAAATCTATTATTGTACATTTATATATTTCTTATATAAATAATTTTATTGATAAAATATTACAAGTACATAATTAATAACGTAATTTAAAGATCTAAAAAAATTAATTTTTTAATTTTTGAAAAATGAACTGATATCGTATTTATAGAGGATTTCTTATGTAAACAAATATTTTCACTTTCAAGAGTAGTTAAAAAAGACTAATGTTAGTTTAACTTTATGTTATAAATTTATGTTATTAAACTGTTAGCTTCTTATTATTACTTACTTAAAGTTGATATTGCAAATTAAAATGTTTAATACATATGAATATATATAATTGCTAATCATTAATGATTGATTTGTACTTTCAATAAATAGAAATGTCTGGGATCAGACTTAAAACCTCCCGGTGATGTTGGGTGAAGGTGTTGTTGGCAAGTGGAGGAGGCAAATACACTAATTCAATTCTACACACAGTGTATCTTGTCTTTCCTTTATTAAATATAATAATATAATAATAATGAATGGTTATAGTAGTTAAGTCCGAGCAAGTTTACGATTTGAAATATTATTTACTGCCAGCACTCACAAAAAAGGGACGCCTTCGAAACTTCTAGAAGCTTCGTTTTCTCACGCCAAAGGAAAATTTCTGGAAGGGACGCGCATCGACACTGTTGCCGGCGCTGAAGACGCCGCATGCACATTTAAGCGCAACGCGCCATGAGGCGACGCTCACTCGTAAAGTTCACTTCGCTCTCCATCAAGCGTAACTGCCGGTCAGTGCATAGTATACTGTAAAGACGCCGCGTGGCCACATTTTCGGCAGCATAGTAAAGAGTACCCGCGTGCATAGAAAAGATAATCGGCAATTCTTTAATAAGTGATTACAGTGAAGCCAATGGAATTGTAATCAAGGGAAACATTACATACACAGCATCGAATCCATCCAACCTGCAGTTCACCAGGTACATCTTTGTATTAATAAATAAACAAGTCACATCTCTCTCTATTGTCGATCGGGCACACTTACGCTCTCTCGAACTGATCCCTCGACATCGTACAGGCCCGCTAGCACAAACAGGGCACACTAGCGCTCGTCCGAAGAACACTTCGGAGCCGTGCAGGCCCTGAACAGCTGACGCAAGAGTCACTGTGGTTCACACACATTGGTTACACATGACCAACACAGATCGACTAATAGACTCTACAGATACGGATTATCAAATCCTCCACGAATTAGAAATACTACTTCTAATTGTTTTTCCTGTGACTAGATTCTACTGCTGTCCCCTTTACATAATTAAAGACATAATTGATTACATAATAAATTCCATTTAAGATCTGACACCACATCAAGTATAGCTATTCATCAATCAAGCATACTTGATTCAACTACCATCTTCTCATGCTGCCTCACAAGCATGATTGACTGACGACATCAGCTGACATTGACAACATCAGCATAACCTCAAAGCAACACAGTAATATCCATAGACGCTTTCATAGCATAAGAATTACAAGAACACATCTTTTGAATAATCCAACAGAATTATTTATTTCTACACAACAGTGCAATATTATTATAATTGTTTACACTCATTAAACCTTGTTTTAAAATAAATATATTATATTTTTCAGCCTTGTCCGTTATTGATTTCCTTTAAAATTATCCTGCCGAGAGACTAATCCATTGAACTATTGAATTGGCAGTTCGAGCCATAAGCTAACCCTTTAAATCCGAACAGTAGTGTATGAATGGAGAGTATGAGTAACTTATGTATGAAGTTTCTTCAATTATTTTACGTGCTAACGAGAGTGTGTACTCTCAGTAGTGTGAGCCGTTATCCTTATTTCCACGGGAAGTGTCGCTGTGTAACCGGCGCGTACTAAAGGAGCGAATGAGATGATGCTGCTTCAGCCGTCGGTGCGGTTGTAAGGAACGTGCGTAGTCACCGTTGCTGCTTACGTGAGCGTGATGAGCAGCCGCTGTTAAGTGTGCGTAATGAGCCGCAACTGGTTTAGTGTATGTGATGAGTCGCCGCTGTTTAAGTGTGCGTAATGAGCCGCTGCTGGTTTAGTGTACGTGATGGGTCGCTGCTGGTTTTGTGCGCGTGATGAGCTGTCGCTGTTTAAGTGTACATAATGAACCGCCGCTGTGTATCTATGTTGAGATACGTTGATATGTGTTTTAGTTATAATTTCGTTATTTTCACTCTTGATTTATGCTTGCACTAGCGCTTCTTGAATATGAGTTTAACGGATTCTGATAGTTGTGGCGACACTATTGGTTTGTTAGATTGCTTATTACTTGATGATTAAATACTTGTATAACTAGAGTGAGCGGTAACTGTAGGTTGAAAGCTTGAAGATAGAAATAGTGAGCCCGTCGTCGTGTACCCGTTGCTTGTTAATGTGAGCGTGATGAGCCGCCGCTGTTTATCTATGTTCTGATCCGTTGATATGTGTTGGAGTTATACTTTCGTTAATTTCACTCTTAAATTATGCTTGCACTGGCGCTTCTTGAATATAGTTTAACGTATTTTGATCGTTGTGGCGTCACTATTGGTTTATTAGATTTCTTGTTACTTAATGATTAATTTGTATAGCTACAGTGAGTGATGACTGTAGTTTGGATGGTTGAAGTTCCTAGCACAGTGAGCTGCGCATCAAGCGCTGCTCAAATATTTTCGTAGAAGCTTGCGTCGTCGGCAGCACACCGGTGTCCGTTGCTATGCCGAACTCTGTTGTGACGTCAGTAGGATATAGCCTTGCAAGGTTAATCGGTATTGCTATTCAGAATTATAATCGTATATTCCAGTTTTCAGCATAGGAAATTTCCCGAATTCGCTACATTGTTTTTATAAACATAAATGTCCGGGAGCTTATACCTCTCCCACTTTTGAATTCCGCTTTCAACTATTTCAATCCCGAACAAGAAAGATAAAACTTTTTTACATAAAACGATTTGGATAACTTATATCCAGGAAAAAATTTTATCAACACCTATATTAATTACAAATTCTTTAATATATAATTTATTTGCGATGATTAATTAGAATAGTATATTAAATATATATTATGAAATAAATTGTAAATATAAAATACATTTAGAAATCAGTACAAATAATTTTAGTATACTATATATATATTTTCTTTCATTTTAACTAGTATTTATATTAATTTCGAATATATGTGTACGATGTTTTCATTTTTCACACTGCTTTTGAATAATTTCCAAAATTGAACCTCTGCTACTCGCTTAATGAAAGTCAAACAGTTTAGTTACACATAAGAGTAATTTTTAAAGGAGATATATAATTTTAAACTCTACAAATTTTATAAAGTAATACATATTTACACATTTTTAAAGATATAAATAAGTATTTTAAATGAATAATTTTAATATTAATTATTCTAATTAATATTCTATTCATTACAGTGTATAGATTATTAGATGAATTAGGTGGATATATTTTGCCAGAAAATGAAGGACCGGCTGATATAACACCTTTAATTGCTTCACTTTTAAAAATCTCTAGTACTCCACTTTTGGACATGTATTTAGACACAGATCTATATGACCATTCTAAAACGGCTATTTTTTTGGATCTACCAAAAAACTATCAATCTGATATGTTATTCAGTAATCCCATAGTAAGTTTAATTTCAATTATTTAACATAATTAATTTAATTTCCACTGTAAATTAATTAATTTTTATTAACAAGCTTCAGATATTTTTAAAAGAACTTTGAATACAAATTTTTGTATGTAAATTTTTAAGTACTCTTAAAGCCTATATTTTAATTCATATGTAATATTTATAAACTTATTTTACATTTAATTTTGGTATAATATTAAAAATCAGCAGCAAATAAATTATGATAATAATAAAGTATTTATTCTATGCTACATGTATGGCCTTTATGATTTATTTTATTTGAATATTTTACAATGTTTAGTATGTTTTTTTATTTTATATATTATTTATAAAGTGAAAATTTTATTTAATTAATATATAATTAAAAAAATGAAATAATAGATCATTTTATGTTATGTTAGATGTTAAAGTTCACAAATTCCTTATTAATGATATCAATATTTAAAATAACAATTTATTATCTTTATAATTAACAATTTATCTCTTTAATAGCAAAATACTAACTTATTATTTATTATTATTTAAATATAAATATTTATTCTTACTCATTAAATTATATATATATTTTGAATTTTTGTTTGATTTTATGCATAGGAAATATAAATGTAATTTAAATTTATATTTTTATAAAAATAATTTTCGTATTTTGTAATGCACATTAGTACATTTTTCACATTATTAGATTCTTTGAAAGTCTAATTACTTAATAACTAGAACTAAATTATTATAAATAATCTAAATTAGAGCATTTATAATGGTATAGAATTTTTTCAACTTTCACTTAAAATTATATCGTACTTTTATTATGATCCAAGTGTAACTGATTTTTATTATTAATTAATGTATAACATAATATTGTAAGTAAATTGTATGTAGGAGGACCAAAAATTATTTTATTGAAAAGCTTGCAGATTTTATTAATAATATTTGACAAGTTAAATCGAATATTTTAATAGATTTATAATGTATTAAAATTAATAATATGAAATACAACAAATAAATTTATAATACACAACTATGAAAGTAATTCTTAAGAAAAATGCTTTTACCATAATATTTTTATTCGCAAACAATTTTTTAATTTATAATATAATAGAAATAATTTTTAGTGTATTTATATGTATTTATAGTGTAAATATATATTTTTATTACTTAAAATAGTTTTTACTCCTTTATTAATTTCATTGTTTTTTACAGCATTAATAGTAAAATAAACCCGATTGATTGGTGTACTTTAAAATATGAATTACTTACTAATTAAACATTGATTTTTACAAACAATAATTTAATTTCAATCATGTCGGTTTTATTTATTTCCAATGTATCGGATACATGTATTGTAAGAATGTAATGCATTAATATAATTCAAAGATTTTTCAACTTGTACATTAGCATCAATTCTTTTAAATATAAAATATTTTGAATTACTTTCAAAAAATTTTACAATAAGAATTTGCAATATGTTATTTAATAAAGTCCTTGGGAAATAATATTAATATGAATTAAATAAAAATCCATTGAAGAAATCAATTTTCAGTTATTTTTTGTTTAAATATTTTACATTTTCTTCTCTATTTTTTAAATGTTAAGTAGATTACATATAAACGTAAGAGATAAATAATAGTTTAAAAGAAATTTTATTATGAAACAAATTTATAGAAGCTATAGTAATACAGTGTATAGCAGGGCTATATAATAGAGTAAAAGCTTAAGTTATTTGACAAAGGTTTATGCTTTCATATGATGTAATTTTGTATATTATATGATTTGTACGAAATATCTAATAAAATAAAAGTCAAAGAAAGCTCGTTTACATATTTTATGATATATATAGTTTCCACACATACTTTTAATAATGTACTAAATTAAGTAATATAATATTTTTCAGGAAAATGAATCAAGGTTCCGAAGAGGACTATATATAGCAAGCGAAGCAAGACGCAGGAAAAGATCCAATCTAACTGAGAGCAAAGTGTATAAAATTATTAAAGTCAGTTTTTTTCTATTAATTTTTTTATCTACATTGAATATTGGATCAAGTTTTATATAAAGCATAAATCTAATAAAAATTACAACATAAATTCAAGCTTGTAACAAATGCAGGCATTATTTTGCCAATTGCAATAGTAATACTTTATATTACTACTTTATTATTGGATTTTAATTAAATTCTTTTTGTGTCCTGTTAATAAATAAGATTTTAAGCAAAATAATTTATTTACTTGATGAAGTAGAATAAATGAGCTCAATATTAATACTAATTAATATGTTTAATATAAAATAGAACAAACTTAAACGAAGTTCGTGGATTAAAAAATCGAGAAAAGTAGATTATAGTGACAATAAAACTATGTGTACCAATACGTATGCAATTACGATAATATCATAAGAGTTTTGTTATTTAAAAATTAATAGTCTCGCATACATGTATTTGCTTTATACTTCATGCCTGACAACTATTTTCCTGCTGTTTTTTCCACCTTTTTCTGTTTTACTTTAATCTGCCAAAAATATATTACATATGTGAGATAATTATTAATTCTAAATTATTATTTAATATTAAATATAAATTTTAAAATAAAAATTGAAATCAAAATAAAAAAAAATCAAATGAATATTAATTATAAATTTAGAAATTTTTAATAGTACTCGATATCTCCATATAAAAGATAAATTTAATTACAAGAAACTTTATATTATAATTTAATTTATTTTTGCGTGTAATAAGAGATAGGCTACAAATTATTATTACATCAAATTATTAGAAATAAAACAAATTAAAGTTTATAAAATTTCAATAAATTGAGAAGTTTTCCAAGTATTTGTTACGATAAATGAATTTGATATGACAATAATGTATGACTTATAGAACTTACGATATAGAACATTCGTATTTATTCTATATTCATATTTTTTAAAATATGAAAGATGTTAAAAAATATTAATGTATAAATATTTATAAGCGTTTCTTGGATACACAGATTATTTCTTTTGTAAACATAATGCATACAAAGGATTTTATGTAAGTATCAAGTTACTGACAAGTACGTAGTATATTACAAATCAAAAACAAAAATGATATATGAAATAATAATTATAAAAGCAGAAAATGTAAATTTTATCCAATTATGTCATTGTCAATGTCATTGTATTGTCAATTATTTCAATTATGTATACCTAAATTATGTCGTTTTTGTTTATATTATAGAATAGTAAAGAAGAGAAACATTCTCAAAGAATACAAAAAATTATTCAAAGTTTAATACCAAGTGATATGGAACAAAAAGAAAGATTGTCCGAAATAGATGAACTACTACAATTTTGCTTAACTATTAAAAAGGTTAGTAATAAAAAAAATTATGAGATATAAATATATTTCAAACGATATAATATTTCTATAATCTCTATTTTTTACATTTAAATTATAATAATAATATTTGATCATATAAGAAATTAATTTTTCCAAAAATTTATTGAATCATAATCTTAAACAGCTATTATTTATTTAATACAATATATTAAACTTTATGTAAGGTTACAATCAATTTTTTATTAATTGCCTGTGACTGAAAAATATAATATATTCTAAAGATTTTATTGTTATCATCTAATTTTAATATTTCCTTAATACAAACTGAAAAGATTAGTTTCTTTAGGAGAAATATTTATCTGCATTTTAAAGACTATATTAAAAAGTTACACCTATATTATAAAAATTGACAAGTATTAATAGAATTGCGAAAACAAACAAATATTTCCATTCATTAAAATAATTTTTTTTCATATGAATATAGAGTTATCCTCGATATAGAGATATATATAATTGGATCGAGATTGATCAACGTATCTATGTACCATACAATCTTTCTTATTTACAAGAAAGTTTTGAATATGTGAGTACAGTGGATTAATTGTTATATAATTAATTTTATTTAACATAATATACAATGTAAATTAATTTTTAAGAACATATTAATTTATATGAAATAATATTTTTAAATGCTGAATTAAAAAAATTTTGTTTCGAGTTTCATTTTTTTATTACCTTTTGATAATAAAATCATTTATTACATTTATTACATTGTTTACAGTTTTTTTATAGTTTACATTTTTATTTTTAAAAGCCAAAAAGATTATAAGTAAAAATCAAAAAAGAAATTTAATAAATAATATAAATTAATGTTATTATATTTAATAATTGAAATATCATAATTCTTTGGTTAGATAAGGTGGGAGATGCTAGTTAACTCAACTTTAGACAATGCCGGTACAGATATGTACAATAATGATTATCGCCATGAATACAATAATAATCAACCTGCCTATATCTATGTAAGTGCTCCTCATTATTTTCATACACTTGGCAAGATATTGAACCGCTTTTCCAAAAGGCAAGTTGAACATTATTTTTTACTAATGTCTATATGTCATAAAAATACATGTCGTTTTGAAGTACAATCACAAAAATGTATTTGAAAAATTTGATTTTTTTAAATTATCACAATTCATGAATCATTATAAAAAGTAACAGTGGTTAAGAGCTTTTGAAAAAATACTAAAATAATTGTAATATCAACGATAAATATTACATTCTGTACAAAATGTATTTACCGTTCCGGCTTGTTTTACCAAGTCCGGTTCGAAGAATACAAATTGATGCCGTTGACAACTCAGAGACCACGGGTATTATGTGGTAGCGATGAAAGGTCACAACTGGAAAGGATAGTATAATAATACAATATAAATATGGCTGATGTATATGTTGTTTATTCTGTTATTTATTTGATGACAAAGATTGACTAATATTACTATTATTAATTATTGAAATAACTCTTGTGGTGGATTAATGTATACTCATCTATTCAGCGTGATGGTTTGAATATGAGCGCAGAATGGCGCGAAGTTTGATTCGTCGACACTCACACTGTTTGGATGGGTACGTGCGTAATTGAGGTTATGGTTGTAATGGAGAGCGACACATTTAACTGTTGTTACTTCAGATACACTCGTATCGTATCAAGCGTACCTTGTCCTGATATTGGCGTACTGCAATAAATTCAGATGGAAGTAAGAGTTTGAAGGGCTTTTACCTCATTGCGTACCGCATTAGGCTTTTACCTCGTTGCGTCTGCTACGAGCCAACGCTGTGGATTCATAAGCGTCAAACTTTGAACTATGGTGAGGGTAAGGCTGGCAAGTCTCGCATCAGTTGATGCGATCTTGACGACGATCTTGGAATTATTCCACACTGTCTCTCTAATGAGAGCCTCGTCTTCTTTGGTTGCTTGTCGATGGCGTATTCTGAATCTTTAGTTTCAGTTGATTATTGTAGAGGTGATACTACTTACGAAGACTAATTGTCTTCGGACTCCGATACGTGGATATGTCTTCGATCCTTTTGAACTTGTAACGACTGTTTCTTGAACTACGTTAATGAACATAAGGGGATATGTCTTCGTTCTTCTAGGACGTGTAACGACTGTTGCCTTGAACTACGTTAATGGACTTCCACTTGACACTTATTTGAATAAGTACTGTATCGAGAGTGTTTGAATATTGAAAAATGCGCCCCTTAAATACATTTTCTGACCATGAACTTCACTTGAACCCCTTCCCTTATTTTTCGTCCAATCAGAGACTCCTCCCTTACAGAGTGAGGGCAGCGCCTCTTGTGGCTTCATAGTTAATTAAGGGCGTAGTCGTCTCTTGATCTTCACAGCAAGATGAGCTCTCGTTGCCTCTGACGCATCTGGCGACAGCATGACAACTGGTCGACAGTGGGAAGGTGGTGGGGATTCGCTAGTGCATACTGCTTGAAGTAGTTACCGAGCAGAGCGCATTCGTACAAATGCCTAATGAGTTGGATTTTCTCGTGTTTATTGTCTTGTTTTTCAGATGTTTTATGACGCTATTACTAGATGGTTGTAAGCAAGAAAGTTTTGAAATCTAAAAGACAAATTTACGATGTTGTTTTGCCGGATGTTGCTTTGAAAAAAGGTTTCGCAATCTCGAACACATTCATAATATTTAAACTACTATTCTAAAAGTTTGAACTCTTATAAGTAAAATGAATATTCCAATTTAACACCTGAACAGCCTAGTAATAATGAATATCAATATAAACAAAATACAGTATCCGATCCATTTATAATAAAATAAAATTTCTTTCAAAAATAGTATTAAAAATTAAATTTCAAGTTGAAAATATGTATTATTTACGGTAGAAAATTTAAAGATTTGATTATTATTGCAGATAATATTCTATAAAAAAATTATTAAAAGTTGAAAGACTATAGAAAATAATTATAAAGAGTAATTGATGTAGAAGATTTGAAAATGATACTTATATTTAGAAAATTTGCATTATCGGTAGAGAAAAAAATGAGTACATGCAAATAATGATGTGACCCTTATATAATGGCTGTAATATATCTTCAATAAATAAAATATACCAAAATTAAGAACAAACGTATGTTTAGGATTTTGCATATTATGATTTATTTTTCTCTTTATAGAACTAAATAGAACTATTAATTTTTATTTTATAGAATGAAATAGAAGTATTAATTTTTCTCTATATAGAAATAAATTTCATATTATAATACTTATAAATTATCTTCAAATAAATTATGAAAGGTAATTTTTATTACCAGCATACATTAATATCAAATATTTGTTTGCAATTAAAAGCATTTGTTCGAGATTGAAGCAATTTGCAAGACCGTTGGCTCTTGGCATCGCTAGTCCCTCTAGCTCTCAATTTTCTGTAAACACTTGTGTTTAAGAATTTTTGAGTACTTGTTTTGTTTTGGTTTCAAATGCCCTACAACGGTTGATATGGCCTTCGCATAGTAACGCCGCTTGGAATTCTTCAAATTTCTTAAACCTTGTTTTTTCTTAAAATTCTCGAAACTTCTAGAGTTTCCTTTCTGCGGCTCATGTAAGATTCTATTATAGCAACAGCGATGCTTTATAGCCATTTCAATAAGCTACCGCGTGGATATTTAATGGCAGCACACTATGCCTAGACGCTCTTTGTAATTTAGTCAATTAAACAGTTATCAATCATTCAACTACGCTATTCAGGCAGTGCTTTCTACCATACAGCAGTCGTTCAGTTACGTTCACACAATGAAGCCATCCCAAGAAATATATATATTAATTATCAAGTGTGAGCATACATACTTTGAAGCCACACGTCCGGTACAGGCGTGTGTACATACATATTTTGAGGTCACACGTTCGGTATAGGCGTGTGTGCATACACCCACTTTAAAGGCCACATTTCCATACTGAAGTGTGAGCATATTTCTGCTGATACTTACAACATTAGCAGAGACCACGACATTGTCACCATCAAGGAGCAACCACATCATTGAGACAAGACAGAGCTTACACTCTTCTGTGAGAAGTGAATACTGCTTATTTTTAATGTAACTGTTAATAAACCATATGTTAAACATGTTTGCATATACTACACATTTCAGCAACCCTTCCACTTGACTCCCAAACTAAGCATCAGCTAAAGCGGGCAGCAAATTATTAAAACTTTCGAACAGCATTAATATAACGTATTTGTAAAAATGTTTAAATGATACAGATATATCTTTTTTATTATTCATACAAATACATATACAAATACACTATTCTTTATTTATATTAATATTCATAATTAAAATGTTTAAAAAGTACTTATTAAATAAAGTTTTATATTTTTTTTCTAAAATTTTATTTTAATTTATATAATACAATAATAGAATAATATAATAATAAAAATAGAACTAAAAATGAATATACTAGAATATAAATTTAATAAGGAAGAAATAAATTTATGAGATAGCTTAAATTAATGTTCATAGATTTAATATGGAGCATTACCTTTAAAAATAAAATAGAATTAAGAATTTGTTCTAAAACTTATTCAAAATATGAAGTATAAAATTTTTAAAATTAACAAGGAAAATATAAATAAAAGAGAACTTAAATTTATAATTATAAATGAAAATTTGCTTTAAAATATTCCAAAATATTTGGAATGATATTTTCCATTAAATATATTTTATGTTGTATGCATTTATTTTAATTCAAAACAATTGTAATTTTTTATATACATATTAACTATAATTGAATGGTAAATGTAAATTTATATTTTTTTAATACGATATTTTCGAAATTATTCTGAATATTCTATAACTATTAGTTAATGTTATTTCTTTTGAACAAGACACAAAATTTTAACCAAAATATATATCAGTAATTTAAAATCATCACAAAATATATACATGAAAATATCTATAAAATAATGAAAATTTTTAATACTCTTATATCATCGATGTTATATGCTGCAATATCATATTCCAATAGATATTTTTAAGGCGACAATAATTATATACGATATCAACAAGAATGCTTCACTACAGATCGAAATAAAACAAATTCTTTACGAAATTATTTCTATTTTATATTTAAGCAGTATGCTTTCTTAATAGTTTTTCTAGCTGAGAAATTATAAAAAAATCAGAAGGGTGAAGAATTACCTGAATTATTATATCCTATTTTACATATCATTTAGTTTAATATTTTTAAAAATTATATTTTCAACTTTAATTTTTTTTACTGTATAAAATGTAAACGTGATAAAGAAGATATTTTATCAAATTTATCTATAATTCAATATTTTGATTTTGTTGTTAATTTTTTGATTGATAAATGAGAAAAGTATTGTGAATTTATTTATTTGCGCATTCATTTATTACTACTGATTATTATAGTTCTAATATTATGAGTATTCGATAACCAAAGTATTGTGAGAGGTTGTAATAAGAATTGCATTACAAATATGTCATGAGCTTTTTATCGGCAATATATCCAGATTGTATATATATTTTTTTAAATCATATCTATCTAGGTTTTTTGGACAATTCTCATAAAAACATTTGGACTTATTCATCACACTACTTGTTCAAGATTGAACTACCTAATAAAAAAATAATTTATCGTTTGTTATAATACGATTCCGATACATTATATTTAGATTAAGGCGTGTTCGAAAGTTGTAGTGATGTAATTCTTGGCTCGAACTGCCAATGCTTTAATAGCTTAGTTTGCCGCCCGCCCTAGCAGACGCTCGGGAAGGAGTCAGATGTAGGGGCTGTACAAGAGTCGTGAGAGTTGGTTAATTGTACATTTATTATACAATTTATTACACAATTTACATATGGGTGTTGTAGAATCTTCTTAAATCTTATATGAAGATACGATTTCTTGAACGACTTCTTATATAGGAGGTGTCACTACAATTAATTGATGAAAATTGCACGGATAAATAATGACTGCACACTTCTTGTTGGAGAGTCTGAGATAATCTTGATGGTTGTCTTATGCCAGATCTGCCGCCGGCTGACAATAATTGAAGAGATAAAGTGTATTAACGTACTCACAGCGATGTCGTAGTTTAAATTCTGATTCAGCGGTGAGTTGGACACAATTGCACGCAGCAAAGCGACTGCGTGCGGCGTGACTCTATACTCACAAGGATGCACTATTCTTGATCTGATCAACGGTGAGAGGGACACACATTAAGTGCGGCGTGACTCTTATACTCCCCAGTATCCACTATTTATTCTTGATCTGATCAGCCGATGAAAGAGACACAAATAAGTGGCGTGACTCTTATATTCATCAGCACGCACTAATTTTAGATCTGATCAGCTGGTGAGAGGGACACAATTATGTGCGGCGTAACTCTTATACTCATCAGCACTATTTATTCTTGCCTTGAACTACTAGCACTTATTTCTGCGTTGAGTGAATTTGTTGGCTTGGTTTCCTTGGACAATTAATTTCTATTACTTGACCTTTCCCCAGACTGCTCACTCTCACTCTGTGTGATTTGTCTTTTTTGGAAGAAAGACCCTCGGCTGCCCACGCGGACTGCCTGTTCTTGGTGTCCCCCGCGGACAGCCCTTTGGCTGCCCACGCAGACTGCGTATTCCTATAATCCCCCGCGAACAGGCCCTTGGCTGCCCACGCGGACTGCGTCAAAACAATTACTACGTCTTTAATACGAAAGGCAATAAATGGCTGTTTACCAGTTCACAGATGTACAACAACCTTTTCGAGTCTCATACAACCTTGTCGAGACTTTCTTAGTTTTTCGTATCCGTTCGATAATTCAATTTTTATTAGCTGTTGAAGGTTTTTCTAGTAAATATAATTCGAGAGATTTTCTTTTCACTCTCGAACACAAACCATCAAGCTGCATAGATGAGTATACGTTTGCCACCGCAACAGATCAATCCAACTCAAGAGTTATTTCAATAATTAATAATATTAATACTAGTCAAGCCTTGTCATCAAATAAATAACAGAATAAACAACATATACATCAGCCATATTTATATTGTATTATTATACTATCATTTCCAGTTGTGACCTTTCATCGCTACCACATAATACCCGTGGTCTCTGAGTTGTCAACGGCATCAATTTGTATTCTTCGAACCGGACTTGGTAAAACAAGCCGGAACGGTAAATATATTTTGTACATCAACAAAAGGAAAATTTTACAATAATCTTATATAGCATTATTTATAGCCATTGAAAATGAAAAATTTATTAAAAGGCAAGAAGTGTACGGGCGTCGAGATTCGTTATTCTATAAATTTGATATACATATTATAAGGCATTCACAAAATACTAATTTCACTTGCAACCTATAGTTATAATTTAAAATTTCATGTTCAACGGCGAATACATTTTGTACAGAAACCGTTTGATTTAACTTTTATATATCTAAGTTACTTATTATTTTTCAAATTAGACAAATTTTAAATATAAATACTATATATAAATAGAGTGTAAATATTGAATTTATATTTGTCATGTATACATAAATATTTAATCTTGTATAAATCTAGATAAATAGAGTGTAATTTATTTACACACGATTAAGAGACCTTCTGTTATTTTGTTTTATTTATATTATAAATAGTAAAGAGGCATATTAATTCTATGATAACTTATACATTACATATAAAATATTAATTTTATTATAAAAATCTCTGTTTTATAATAAAAATATAACTTTTAGAATTATTCATAATGGCTTGCTGGTACTATATACAACAGATATTTTATATGATATTGTAAATGTAACTGCTAGTAAAAACTGGAGCGAAAATTGTGTCCAGTTAACTAAAAATGTCTTCAGTGAAGGTATTGGAATGCTTTATGTTCAACAATATAATCCAGACTTTTTAGAACTTCTTATAAACAGGGTAATAAGATACGTTTTTATATTAAATACAATATTTTCAATTTTTCAGTTACATATAAATGTGGAGCAATGTACAAAATGTACAAACTATTATAAATTTTTTTTAAAATTATATATTATAAACTTTTTTTCATGTTAGAAAATCCATATTTTAGCACATTATATTACACATTGATTTATATAATTACAATCATGATTTTTTAAAATTATATAGAAAATATTCAGATCTTTATAGATTTAAATATATTTACTTGCACGAAAAGCAGATAGTATTATTTTCTTTTTCTTAAGAATATTTATATTTTGAAGTTTTTAAATCATATATAACAAATATGTTATGTATTATGTTATTATACCAAAATCATTAAGAATATGTTTCACTTGGAGAAACAATAACTTATCATTCTGAGTTAAATATATCAATAATTTATAAATAAGCTATATAATTTATTTCATATAAATGTATTCATTATAGGTAGTTTAAAATTTACTATTACTTAATAAGTCAATCGATCAATTTCTTTCAGTATTTTATATTATTCTATTAATTTTTATTTAGCATAATATTTTTTTAATAAAACAGAATTTTTCACTTATTTTTATTATTATTCTCTACGTTACTTTCAATTTTATGGTGATGTTTGGTTACCTTAAATATTTTATGAAAATTAATACTGAACTTTTTTCATTCATGAATTGTACTGATTTTGTATATAATTTTTTAAATAATAAACATAATATAACGCATATCTTATTAAATTTTTTATTTTTATAGTAGATTTAGTAGATTAAACAGATTTAGATACAGAATAACTAATAAATCGTGGCTTTATTTCTAAGAGATTATTATATTATTTTTATAATAACTAATTTTTAATATTAGTAGATTTAAATGTTCACAAATTAGTACTAAATATTACTACTAAACATTAAATTAAAAAAATTAAATATAAATTAATATTGTAGGTATCAATATTATTTGAGCGTATTAAAGAAACGCTTGCTGAACGAATGCTTATAATGCCTTGGCTTGATGAACAGACAAGAACTCAAGCTATTGTCAAACTACATTCATTATATGGAAAATTTCAAATTTGGCCTGGATATTTAAATGAATCTTTATTGGTACAACAAATGATAAAGGTAATTTAATTTAGAATATATTGGTTACTTATTTAAATTAATAAAATAAGCTCAATTGGGACTATATATTTATTTTTAAGAAAATACTTCATAATATTTAGTAATTAAATTTATATTATTTGACAATATTACAATAGGTTAAAATTGATCATGATGATTTTCTGTCAACTGTGCTGAGAAGATATAAGCAACTTCGAAGATTGGATGGACAAATAAACAAAAACACAATTCAAAAGTAAGAGAGAAGAATACAGCATCATCATGACCATCATCAAACCATTCTAAAAGTAAAACATTAAGCATCGTTTTAATCAGCTATCATCCTTTTAGTTTTAAAATCTATAATATTCTAGAAAAAGTTTTTAATATCATGATAATAGTTATTTTATTAGATTAAACCTTTAATTAATTATGTGAAATACATTTATTAAGTTTATATTTGAGGTATTATAAATTTTGTTGAATATTATATAAAAAAAATAAAAGTAAGGGCGATTTACGAAAAATTATAATAAAAATTTATTTTAATATTTTTGGTTCATTTTAATAGAGGGCATCATCCTTTTGCTGTTAGCGCATATTATGAAGCATCGTCTAATTCTATTGGTAAAAAATAATAATCACAGATTATTAACAATTTTTCGTTAGTAGTAATTTAAATAACAATATTTATAATTTATATATTCATTTTTAAAGTCATTTCATTAGCAATGATGACTATGTGGTCTTGGTCATGGAACGGTGGACCCACATATGATGTTTATGCAACTTTAGGCTCGGTAATAAGTCACGAAGTACTTCATGCATTTGATCTTCATCATAGACAATTGCCGCTTGATCTAGATCCTGTTAGTACACAATGGTCATGGATTACTCCAGAATCTTGGCACAAACTCCAGGTTATGATTGAATGTGTTGCTAAGCTCTATGCTAGAAGTTTTTGGAGAAAGGTCAAACTCTATGGAAATAGTGTTGATATACAGGTAAAAATTTATTTATGCATTATTCATAGTAGTGATTTGCTATTTTCCTTAATAATTCAACAATTTTCTAATTTATTCTTCGTATTGTTTTATAATAACAAATTTTTAATTTATAAAAATATAAAAAATAAAAGTTTAAGTTTTGCAATATAATATTAAAAATTAAGCATATTGTTCATAATTTAATTATAATCAACATTTATAATAATATTCATTTTATTTTATATAATTTAGGTATTAAAAATAACATTGCACTTTTAAAGGATGACAACACACATATATAATTTGAATATTAAAAAATTCTAATAACAGAGATATTAAAAATAATTTAAAAATATTAATTATTATCATAAATAGTTGAGATATTGATCCAATTATAAAAGTAAAAAACAACGCAAACTTGTTTCAATATAATTGTTTGTTTTCTATATCTAATCTACTCTATATTGGAATATATTATACAAAATTATTTTACTGTTTTTTTTATTCAATATAAATATTGTTTATTTATTAATTTATATTTAATTTATTCGACACAAATATAATTCAATGCAATACAAAAATTCCTTTCAAAAGATAGCCAAACTATCTATGGATACCATAATGTAAAAATATTACACATAGAAATATCTTCAAAAGTTATCTGCTGTTTTAATCGTGTTATATTAGATTACCTCAAAATCCTAGTTTCTATAATTTATATGTGATCGGAATTGGAGCATTTTTCCAAGATCTTCGGTTTTCGGAAATTTTATAAGCCTTCTAGTTGTTGAATTTGTAAACATTTGACACGTGGAATTCTCGAAGCTTCCATAGCCTCTTCTCGAACGTCACACAGTAACAGCTAAGCATTGTTGCCAGTTAACTTAGCTGCCGCGTGGATATTTAACGAAACGCGCATCAAGACTAATTGTCAGTTATTCCTCCGAGTCAGTTACTTATCCTAGTCAGTTATCTACGCTTCAGCCACGCTCTTCAGCCGGAGTCTGCAGTACAAGGAAATAGTCGACAAGTAGCATGGTGTCTGACCCGTCCTTCACACGAAGGTATACCAGTAGTCTCTATTGACGGTAACTACCACGCAATTAATTCCATACTTCCTTCATGAGTATGATTGACTCTCCCTACTAACCTTTACAGCGTTAGCATAGATCACAAAACCAAGCTAGATTCCCTTATCGGAGTATGCAAAATCCATTGCTGACCCCTATAAGATCATCTACGACATCGTCACCATCGCCAAGGAGCAACTATATCGTTGTGATATAACATAGTTCAGTCTCCCATGAGAAGTGAATTCAGAATCAATAATAACGTAATTGTCAATAAAACCAAAATAAACGATGTTTTAACGAAGTTTGAACCACTGTACATCTGTACAGCCCTTCCATTTAAATCCTTATCTAAGCATGCTAAGGCGGGTGACAAATTAACTGAATATTCGAACTTGGCAGTTCGAGCCAGAAAATTAAATACATTTTCGAACATTTAATCCTTCGAGCCGGATCAGTGCAATTCCACATTTGGTCCTTCGAACCGGATCAGTACAATTTCAAACAATATGTAAAAAATTACTTCTGCTTTTTTCTATTCAGCAATTGGAAACCATATTAATCAACATATTTTTATTATCTCTTTCTTACTTATCTTTTTAATTAATGCTCTAATAGTCAGGGGATTTAATGTGGCGATTTATATAAATTTTAGTTCATTTAAAAATTCAGAGATGGGTAGATTATTTTTAGTATGTTTTGAGACACAGCCTAATTAAATTAAGCAGTTTTCTTTATATTAATACTTTAATTTTTTTAAGTGAATTTTGAAATCTTTAGAAGTAAAATCATTACCTAATAATATTGTTTATATAACTGCATTTATCGTGTTTACAATTTTGTAAATATAAGTTTTTTCAACTGAAACGAATTTTTTAGCAATGCTTGAAAATGCGAAAATCATTTTCAATAAAATTATAAATGTAATAGTAATCTATATAGCATGTTTTGTAACAGATACTATTTTGAAGTATTTTAATTCAAGTACAGTGCTCTGAACTATATGAGCTACAACCGCTATTATTAAAAATTTTAATTTTATATAAATACTCTACATAAATATAAAATAAAATAAATTCGTCGTCAATAACTAAGAATGCAAGTATAAAATGTCTTCTATTCCTTTGACAGCAAAAAGAAAAAAAATTTTTATGTTTCACAAATTGCTATATATAAATGAAGGTATTATAGAATTCAGCTGATATAAATTTAAAGTGTTATCAATATTTGATTTGTTAAAAATTGCTTATTTTTTGTACAAGAATTATAAATATTGTTTGAGAATAAGAGACTCCGTTTAATAAGGCAATAAAATATCTGACAAGTAATGTCATGAAAATTGTATTTAAGACTTCAAAACTTTCCTGCTCATAATTATTTGTACTAGTGTCATAAAACATCTGGAAAACTCTAGCGGAACGTGCTCATACTCCCAGTGCAGTAGAACCTAATGGGTTTACTGCCGGGAGAACCCCAAAGTAGATTCAGAACGAATATCAGATATGCGTGAAGCATTGAGTACAAATATTTACTGCAACCGAAAACCCGTACGTACTACACATGCAATGACCATACGTGCGCACTCGGCCTTTAAGACAATGCAAGCATTGTTCTTGGCTATGCCACATCTGGTCGATCGTATTGGAAAATTGACCACGCCCAAGCGGATCCTTCTTCTAGCCAAGTCCCAGAGAGGGATGAGGCAACCAAAGAGAGGTGACCAATGGAAAAGGCTCGCCACCTTCCGACACTTTCCCAATTAGCAAATTCGGAACTGAGCCCGGAAGGAAGTGGAAATGAAGGCGTGCATAATCTATTGTGCGACCCAAGATCAACCACTGATTGGTTAATTAATAAAGGAAGAAGGGATCCCAAGTGGAGCGGGATCAGTGAATCATTTTAAGAAGGGACTACGTAATGTACCCTCACTTACTCTTTCCAAATACTTCTTACAGTGAAGGATAAGTCACGACCAACTCTCACGGAGGAGGACCGGAGAGATGAGTCGTTTAGCTAGCTGAGTTTTAATAATAAGTTCTTTCCACTATTGTGAATTAGTGTACAGTTGAATTGATCTCATCAAGACTGGATTGCGTGGGACCTGACCACTTGTGGTCTCACTTGGAGACAAGGAAGAACTGAAGAGTTGCAACATTGCAAGGGAACGTAATAACAAGCCATCGAAGAGAGACTGGAAAATCACGATACACTGCAAGTAAGTCCTTACAGCTAGTACTCATTCTTGATTTCTCGGCTTATGTAGAAGACGGACGGATAAAGTCCAACTACGGAAGCTTCCCGGACATACTCTTGAACAAGACCAGCTATAAACGCCACATTGGCTTCTCAATCCCTCCAACTGCAAGTTGTTCCCGCCACAGATGGCGCACAGCTTCGCATAACCTCCATCTCGGCTCTCTTACGACCGATATTTAAAGGCAACTACACACGTGTTAAGATAAACACAATGGCATTCCAGTGTTCGATCAGAGCACTACAATCATGATAACCTCTTAGCGATAATATTCAATAGATTATAACCTGCTTCATTCATAGTAAATATATTTCAACACCACAAGATTATCAAGAAATATAAAGTTCGTCTGTAATTCACCCTTTTGTAAATCAATTCAAATAAATAGAAATAATAAAGACATGTGTTAATTATTAATCAGTGCATTCACCCTTTACTTGCCCGGCAACCCCACATAACATCTAGTGGGTTTTATTGTTCTACGTTAATTATTGCACGTTTGGCTGACTAGTCAAATTGTGGGATTATTTTCCGAACAAATATATATACTTAAAAATCGGTAAACTATTTATATAAATTTGGCTGTTGCTTTTCATTCAATAGTTTTTGGCAATTCATTTTTTAGAAATTCGAGGAATCTTTTATAATTTTACCATGATCAAATTTTTCTCAAAGCTGCCTATTATAATTTATTCTTATAATTGTTATTTTTAAAACATATTGGCAAGATATTGAACCGCTTTTCCAAAAGGCAAGTTGAACATTATTTTTTACTAATGTCTATATGTCATAAAAATACATGTCGTTTTGAAGTACAATCACAAAAATGTATTTGAAAAATTTGATTTTTTTAAATTATCACAATTCATGAATCATTATAAAAAGTAACAGTGGTTAAGAGCTTTTGAAAAAATACTAAAATAATTGTAATATCAACGATAAATATTACATTCTGTACAAAATGTATTTACCGTTCCGGCTTGTTTTACCAAGTCCGGTTCGAAGAATACAAATTGATGCCGTTGACAACTCAGAGACCACGGGTATTATGTGGTAGCGATGAAAGGTCACAACTGGAAAGGATAGTATAATAATACAATATAAATATGGCTGATGTATATGTTGTTTATTCTGTTATTTATTTGATGACAAAGATTGACTAATATTACTATTATTAATTATTGAAATAACTCTTGTGGTGGATTAATGTATACTCATCTATTCAGCGTGATGGTTTGAATATGAGCGCAGAATGGCGCGAAGTTTGATTCGTCGACACTCACACTGTTTGGATGGGTACGTGCGTAATTGAGGTTATGGTTGTAATGGAGAGCGACACATTTAACTGTTGTTACTTCAGATACACTCGTATCGTATCAAGCGTACCTTGTCCTGATATTGGCGTACTGCAATAAATTCAGATGGAAGTAAGAGTTTGAAGGGCTTTTACCTCATTGCGTACCGCATTAGGCTTTTACCTCGTTGCGTCTGCTACGAGCCAACGCTGTGGATTCATAAGCGTCAAACTTTGAACTATGGTGAGGGTAAGGCTGGCAAGTCTCGCATCAGTTGATGCGATCTTGACGACGATCTTGGAATTATTCCACACTGTCTCTCTAATGAGAGCCTCGTCTTCTTTGGTTGCTTGTCGATGGCGTATTCTGAATCTTTAGTTTCAGTTGATTATTGTAGAGGTGATACTACTTACGAAGACTAATTGTCTTCGGACTCCGATAGGTGGATATGTCTTCGATCCTTTTGAACTTGTAACGACTGTTTCTTGAACTACGTTAATGAACATAAGGGGATATGTCTTCGTTCTTCTAGGACGTGTAACGACTGCTGTCTTGAACTACGTTAATGGCGTTCCACTTGACACTTATTTGAATAAGTACTGTATCGAGAGTGTTTGAATATTGAAAAATGCGCCCCTTAAATACATTTTCTGACCATGAACTTCACTTGAACCCCTTCCCTTATTTTTCGTCCAATCAGAGACTCCTCCCTTACAGAGTGAGGGCAGCGCCTCTTGTGGCTTCATAGTTAATTAAGGGCGTAGTCGTCTCTTGATCTTCACAGCAAGATGAGCTCTCGTTGCCTCTGACGCATCTGGCGACAGCATGACAACTTATCGACAGTTGGAAGGTGGTGGGGGTTCGCTAGTACATACTACTAGTACATAAATTAGTTAATTTCAATTACTATAAACTGAAAAAATTGTTTTTCTCTCTTTTTTCTCCATTTTTTTTCTTTACTAAATTTAATAGATAAAAATATATTTCTTGAAATTTGTTTTCTATTATAAATACAAAGAAATTAAAAAATTTGAAACGAAATTAGTTTATTCTATATGATTTATATATTAAATTATATATTTTGATTCTGCGGAAGAAGATCTATATTTTCATGCATCCATATATTATATTACATCATATATATAAAATTGTGAAACATTTATTATGACTTTTCCCAACAGATTCACTTAAGTGTATCTGCTAGATAAAAATCAATATAGGTAAATAGTATTAAAAAATGATATATTTATCAATGTTTAAAAATGAATACTTAAAATCAAGCTATGAAGAGAACAAAGTATAAAGTTTAAGAGCTAAACGTTTATAAATCCATAAATATTCTTCCGAATTGAAGTTGGTTATTGACCAGATAAGATTTTACAACCAATTTCAGTCTGCTCATATTTTAGAAATCATGATATATTTTGCAAGATACCTAAACATTGGAAATAAAGCATTTAACATAATAGTAAACTGCACACAATTTATACAAATTTTGTTTTTGATAAATTAAATTAAGAACAATACTTTATTTCAACTTAGTTCTAAAATAAATCAGAAGGCATGTTAGATGCTATCAAATTGATAAAATATATATAACGCCGTATTAGGACATATATTCTTTAAATATTGTAATAATAAACATATTTATTTGTTTCTAAATTTCATAAATTCCAATTATTTTTTATATTTTAGATTTAATTTCTTTTATGATTTTAGTATGATTGGAATATTACGAGAAACGAAAATGTAGCCGACATCGGCGCCTTGCAGATCGCCTATCAAACATGGTATATCTTAACAAACGGGAAAGATAGAATTTTGCCAGGACTCGAAGCGTTACATCCTAATCAACTGTTCTTTATTAGAGCTGCTCAAGTACGATATTCCTCTGATACTAAACTGAAGTACCTGCATGCATACACATTTATATATATATTATATATATATATATATTTTATATTATATATATATTTTTTTTCTTTATAGACATACTGCTCCAATATAACTGCGGAGGCTTACATTCTTTCGATCGAACTTGATTATCATATACCTCAGCCCGAAAGGTATCGTAGCCTATATTTTTTGTAATTTTAAATAGAACATTTTTTTGTACATAAGTTAAAATAAGTTAAAAATTTGTTAATAATTTCCTTATATATTTAAAGCCCATATACTGTAAACTCTATTATGAAAAATATATAATATGTGTAAATAATAGTGTCTAGAGTTAGACTAAAAAACTCTCAGTGATGTTCAGTGAGAGGATTGCTGGCGAGTGGAAGGGAATGGCGCATTTATTCAATATTTACACATAGCGTATCTTGGTATTTTTTCTCTTTATTTATTTGCAAACTACACAATAAATATTGTTCTAATATGGTGTTGAGAATCTGTGAGATTTCTGTTCCTTAGTTGTTCACGTGGAGATAGCGTACACTGCAAGTCGAAGTTAAAGGTTGTAAAGCTCCGGGTCCTCTTGGTGAAGTGCGCTTGGTGGAAATTACTACACAGAAAAATGCAAGAGCGTAAATCCGTGACACTCCTTGTATAGTGCCACGTATGACCTTTAATCCGGAGTACAACTCCGATCAGTAACGTCTTAGTGCTTGAATCCAAGGAACAGATCCGAATACAGCGACGTTTAACACAGAAGTTTTAAGTTTCAATTTCTTGAGTGCCAATGCACAAGCATTAGGTTTCAATTTTCGAATGCCAATTGCACACGCTGCAAGTTTCAAGGTTAAGTTTCAATTTTTCGAATTTAAATTTTAAGTTTCAATTCTGAGTACAGTTCCGATCACAATGACGTCTTAGTGCTTGAATCCAGGGAACAGCCCCGAATACAGTGACGTTTAATACAGAATTTTCTATACAGACAGTTTCAGACAGAAAGTTTAACACAGAAGGTTTAATGTCTTACCCACTTGTGTGGCGAGTACATAGGTGGTGCGCTTGTTATTTAATATTCACTGTTGAAATGCAATCAACACTCTTGACTGCTTAACTGTGGCGCACTTAAATTAGTTATAAATTATTTGGATTCACTGTTGGCTTATGATCTTATTATTGCAAAGTCTGGTTGAATTATGTGTGAGTATTTAGTAAAACTGATTGACTGATATACGACTTCATATATTTCATGGCAGAGTGACGAATAACTGATAACTGGTAGATTGAGAGAAATACAGTGAGCAATAACTGATGAGTAAATGATTGGTAAAAATAAAGTGAGCACAGAAGCGTGGGCGAGCTGCTCTTAAATATTCGCATGGCAGCTTACAACGCTTGCAACAATGCATGGGCTTGTTGCTAGGCCAAAAGCTTTGATGACGTCAGAAACTAAGCTCTAGAATATTCGAGAAGCCCAGAAGGATACACTCCCTTGGAAATTTCGAGAATTTTCAATCGACGTTGCTATGCGGAAATATTGTAGGATAATAGAAAATAAGGCGTAGATTATTCAAGAATTCGCAGAATTGATGATTACAAACGTAAGCCTCAGAGAGCTTGTACTTTTCCTATTTTTAAATTCTTGGAAATTGCTCCAATCTTGTTTTAATACATTGTTTTATGTTAAATAAATCAACTATTTTAATAAAAAAAATTATTTTAGTTTACTTTTTATATTATTCAGTAAATGATTCAATTAAAAATAGGTTTGGAATGGTACATTTTCTAAAAGTATTATACATTTCTTTTAAATTATGAGAGATTTTAAAAAATTGTGTAATCGAAATTAACAATAATATTAATTCCAACCGACATTAATTTATATTTTTTTAAATTAAAAATATAAACAATATATTTATTTATTTATAATTAATTTAAAAATATGACAGCATTTACATTCAGATTCTGTGATTACAATTATATATCATTATACAATATTTACAATTTCCTTCAAAATTACTTATCCATTTTTGTATTTTATAATAAATTCAACAATTAATTTTAATTGAAGTAATGGTGATATTAAAATTTTTTTATTAAAATATAAAATTTGAATAATATATGTATAAATAAATATATTAAAAATACAATTTTTAAATTTAAACTAATTATATTATATTATATATTTTTCTAGGATAAATGGAATAATGATGAATTCACCTGAATTTGCTGAAGCATTTCGATGTTCACTCGGATCGAAAATGAATCCAATAAAAAAATGTAAAATGTGGTGATCTATACTATACGTACACATAAAACAAGAAAACAAATTTACGTATAGACCTGATATTTATATTAACCTTTATTTATGCAAGCCATATAAAAAATTAATTAGCATAAATATATTTTAAGAAAACTATGAATAGCTTATTAGATAAATAAACGGATTATGTGCTTATAAAAGCTATGAAAGAATTTCATACAATACAATAAGAAGAAAAATAAAATCATAATGCATTAAATATTACTTTTTTTAATTTAACTAAGCAATGATAAGTATTTATATGTGATTTATATGTTAACCTTTTGCAAAGTACAAAAATATCGATATTGTCATAAAATTAATCATTTTTAAAGTATCATTTGTTAAGTAAATCAATTATTGAAAATTTAAGGAACATTAATAATCATACTATTAACATTTGATAATACAAATTTTTTTAAACGTTATAATCAAAACATATTTATCATAATGATTAAAATCAAATATATTATTTATAAGACATTTTTAAATCAAATGCAGTTATAGAAGATAAAATTATTAATAATGTACTTTGAACCCATTAAATAAAATTATACTGCAAACTATAATTAAAGTAATTCATTAAAGCAATAAATATAATAATAGTATAGAGAAATTATTAAATAATTCTTACAGATTATTTAATAATTAGTGTTTTTTATATAAATGTGTAACTTAAAATTTACTTCAAAAACAATGATTCATTTGGTCAAGCAAAAAAATTATTTAATTTTAATTTTATTAAATATAAAGAATTGAAACGTTAGCATTAATAGAATTACAGTGTTTTATAATATAAATAAATAATCGGTTTTAACTAAATCTGTTTTTAATTAGATACTCTAATTTTATTAAAATTTTACTTTAAAATTATAACGTTATATATTTATATCCATAGACAACATTTAAAATGTTAAATATTTATATAATCTACTATTAAAGACATAACTATAGTTGGTAAATGTATCAATGCAAGGATGCAAATAGTTTTTGGAGTTTTCACTTTAATTTATGTTATATTTATTGGAATCATTTAGTCCAAGATATCAATATATATTTATATATATAATATATATATATATATATAATAAATATCTTTTACACTTATGCCAATTACATTTCTTGTCATATTTTTATTAAATTTATAGAAGGATATTTTCTGGATTTTCCAAATTTAGTTCATTTAATCGTGAAAAACCTTTTTATGGTATTTACATTAATAACCTATATAGATACTTCAGTCATTTACATTAACATTTTTGAATGTAACTATAATATTCTTAGAAAGTTCCAATCTTACTGTCAGTGTCATTTTAATATAATTCATTTTAAAAATCTAAATTGTAATTGATCTATTATGTTAACAAAAAAAGTAACATTATTTTTTATTGATTTTAAGCAAATGAGTTGATAGAAAATTTACTAAGTAAGCTTAAACTGTTTTACTGCTTTTTCCTAAATTAAAAAATTATTAAAAAATAATTAACATTTTGTATACAATAACTGTATAATTCAGACTACTTTTCAAAAGATTTCTAATAAAAATCTAGAAAAAGAAAGTGTTAAAATTATTATAGCGTATTCTTGTACCATGTATATTTCTATACAAATTATTTTATTTGTTTATTTTATGTTGATTTTATGATATGTGATTTATCTATTTATGTTTATGAATATATGTATAACAACGAATTGATTTGTCGATCTCAAATAATTATTCTTATGATTATATTTACATTTTAAAGTTGTATATGAATACAAATTATTATTATAAATATATTTCGTAAATGTATTAGAAAATTCAAATTTTTTCGAATAGTTATGATTCAAATTTTTTGCTCCAAAATGTCTATTTATTGTCAATAATTGTATTTAGAATTAACTAAAAGACCACTAGATGTTGTGGGGGGAAGATGCGTGGGCAAGTGGAAGGGTTAGTGCATTGATTCAATATTTACCACATCTGTTTTTTATTGCTGTTGGTTCCGTCTATTTTTCAAATACAGGGATGATTATTGTTGATGAATTTTTGTTACTCTGTAGCGCCTGGCACGTAAGATTTGTATGTAGTTTGATGGAGGTTACTGTGAGAAAGAATTGAGAGAAAGAAGTGGTGAGAACTTTACAATCTCTCCCTTTCCTCAGGATAATCTACCATCAAAGGCACGACGTCACGAGGATCAGGAACTTTACAACCCCTACCTCCAACCGAAGTGCACCTTAACGCCACATTCATCAAGAATAATAAAGGCTCATCTATAACCTCGTCAGTAACAATAATCCCTGTATTGGAAAGTAGACAAAATAAACAGTAATACGAAATATATGTGTTAACTATTGAAACAATGCATTAACCCTTCTACTTGTCCACGCATTCTCCCACACACCATCTAGTGGTTTCTCTTAGTTAAATTCTATACATTTAGGTCTTTGGAGCCGGATTAGTGGAAGTAAGTGTAGTGTTCTAGTATTCACACACAAGAAAATGTGTTGTAACAAGAATATTTCAGACAATTACATCACTGTGTTTATTATCCAATGGATACATGGTAACAGCATAATGAATCACTTGATCAACGAGACACTTTAAGTACCACCTTATCAATTTCTTGAACAACTTACAAAAAGGAAAATGTCGAATCATCACATGAAACAAATATATCGTTATATGCATTCATTGATATTATTACAAAAAAAATTATATTTTATGCTTTTTCACATTATAAATTGTATATAAATTGATATTATAGAAAAGTGATATGAACATATTAAATTATAGAATTTTCCAACTTTACAAATCTAATTTATTATACATCAATATTTAAACCACATTGATTAGAATATTTCTTATAATCTAACATTTTATAATAAATAATAGATATTTACAGATAAAATATAAGTTAAATAATTTTGGGTATATAATAAAATAAAATTCGATTTTATATCTGTTTGGGATTGAAGCAGTTTAAGCAGAATTTAAAATTGAGAAAAGTACAATTGTTAAAAAAAACAATTCCGTATTCTCTACTTTTAAGTATGCCTACTCTCCCTACGAAGCCTTATTGATAACCATTACCATCATCGTCACCATCTTCCCATGCTCATTAATGAGCATGGTCGATTTCTCATGCTGATCTTTACAACATCAGCATAAACTCAATACTCAACATCCACAATAAATTCCATAGCATCAACGGCAACCAAGGAAGCACCCTTATCACTGAAATAGAATACTTCTCTCTCTCTCTCTCTCTCTCTTTCTCTCTCTTACTTGAAGCAACTAACAAAACTGCAATATTATTATAATTCATAAACCAGAATAAAACAATATCTTCACTCAAAATACATATTACATAATATTTTCAGCCCTTCCACCTGTGCCTTTTCCTTCTAATCGCTACGGCAAGAGACTAATTCACTAAACTATTGAATTAAGAGTTCGAGCCACAAAACACTCAATTTCGAACAATATCTAATAATAGTCAGTAGATTTAAGAATGTATATTTTGTAATAATATTATAAATGAACTAGTTATTTATTATTAGTTTTGAAATTAGAAAATTTGTTTTGTTAACTATTAAAACTAAACGAATTTATGAAAGAATGAATGAAGTCTGAGTATTGACCGAAAGCTTGCAAATTTAATTTATGAATTATTGTTCATTTTTGTTAAAAAATGATTAATCAAATCATAAAATCAAGAAATTTAAAAATGATAAAAATATATGTAACAAAAATTTAAAAGAATTATTTATGAAAATTTACTATACATATATTGTTTTAAGTGATTTAAAAGTATACGGTGCAATATGTTAATAACAATTGAAAATTTTTAGAATAAATAAAGAATAAATAGAGAATAAATAAAGAATAAAATTTTTTAATATTTGAATAATATTTGAACAATTTTAATTTATTTTATTTTAAAGAAAGTAATGAAAACATTTTTTGTTATTACAAGAATTAATACTCTTAATAACTTAGTACAGTTTATTATTAAATTAATATTCCATTTTATAATTTATATTGAGTAAACGTTAAATTAATTGATTATTCTGATGTAATAATATAACATGGCTTTTAAGAAGTTTGTATAATTTAATACATTTAACTAATTTTTTAATTTAAAATGAATAAAATAAATTAGAAATATATCAATTCTGCCTGTCGTATTCACATGTCTTAGACATTTTATGTTAAGCTTGTATTTTTAAATACAAATCGCGGCAAAGATTCTGCTGATCATAACTTCTGCCGCAACGTAAATTACACAATGATTTTCTTTTACATTCATTATTACATGCTGGTCTTACTGTTGAATTTCTATAATAGTTTCTGCAATTAAACATAGTAGTATCATTTTCGAATTCTATAAATATTTTAATAACTAAAATAATAAATTAAAATAAAATAACTAATAAATAATCGAGCAGGTATAAACATTCAAAATTTACCAAAATTTTTTAGAATCAATAAATATTTGAAAAATATAGTTAAAATTTAATTATTTAATTAATTTGTTCATTTTTCATATAATACTTGTTATTATTATAAATATAAATATCGATTTTAAGATTAAATTATAATAACAAACGATATTACTCTTCATATGTTATTTTCTTAGAGTGCATGAATATTATATAATTTTACTTATAGTGTTACTATTTAATTATAATTTAAATAATGGAATTTAAGACTTATAGTAAAAATTATTTTAAGTTATCTAGACATATGATTTTTATTAATTATATCTTGTATTATTTGTTATTAGTATTATAATTGTGATTTTTTTGTATAAAATTTTAATGTTTGTTTAAGGGCCACTACTTTATAAAATCGAATGGAAGACAAATGCTGTAACATCAGAATTAAAAAAGTCAAGCAACTAATTACCTATGATATTTCTCGAAAAGATCCTTATCTTGAACCATTCTGTTTACAAGATTATCCCAATCTTTTGGTAAAACTGACGTCATCAAATAAGCATCCTTAGCACTATAAGCTTTGTACCATTTTGGATCATCATTTTTGTTTGCTTCATAAAGATTCATTGTCCAAGTTTCATGATCGATGATTAGCTTTATGATAGATAATTAAGCTTGAATTATATTAATCTTTATTAAAAAATATTTTGATATATTCTTAAACGATATATATATATATATATACATATTTTTAATGAATATATTTAAAAATCTGTATATATATATATATATATATATATATTTGAAAAAAATTTGTTTAAAAATAAAATAAAAATAAAATTAAAAAAAAATTAAAATAAAAAATAAAATAATGTTAAAAAATAGATATAATCTTAAAAATATTAATATTATTTTTTCATAGCAATTTTTCATTTTGTCATTTAAATTTGTTGATAATTATTTACAGAAAAATTTATTACAATAATGCATTAATTTTATAAGATCAAACAATTTAAATAATATTATTTTGATATTTATTCTATATAAAATAAAAATGTCAAGGTCGATATTTGTAATTATCTTGTACTCTTACTCTAGTTGTCTCGGAATGATCGCCATCAATATAGTATATACGATAAGCAGGGTTTACGTTTTCCCAGGGTGTAATTGAAGGTGCTATGTATCCAACATTAATTGCTCGTTTGAAATCCTTTGTATCATAAAAGATTTCAAATTCATCATAATGAGTATGCCCATAAAATTGTGCCATTATTGTCCCCTCATATCTATCAATATACAGTTAAATAAATATAAAATATAATTTATATAAATTATAAAGAAAATACATAATAATATGATGTGAATATATTATAACTTTATGATTTTTAAAAATAAAATATTTTTGTGCATAGTAACATTAGAAAATCAAATTATTTTTATAAACTATATTTATTTAATATACTTCTAATACTTTTATTGTAATTTATCAAATATATCATTAAAGAGTTGCTTTTAAAAAAGAATACAAATAGGGTTTATAAATAAAATTCAAACAGTAATTACATATTTTTAAATATAAATTAATAATTCTAAATTCAAATGGACTGTAATGAACCATTATCAAATTCAATTTACTTCTAATTTTTTAATTTTAACTTTAAATAATATTATCTAATATTCAGAATTCATTTAAGTACTTTATGAAAAAAACTAAAGAATAAAAATAAACTGTATTATATAAAAATATATGTTTTATATAGAAAATTATTAAATTGAGAGTTCACCTATTGATAATGTTATAATAATTTTTAGACCAGATTTTTAAACAATCCGGTTGTCCCGGTGGTATATGTCCAATGATGTGCACTTTTTCCCGTTTAGCTTCAGCCATATTGAGTTCGTGAACCAGCCAAGTAAGCTCACCCATTGGATCGGTGCTATTCAGTAAGAGCCAGAAGTTATTTCTACTACAGTAATTACCATTAATCGAGATAATTCTAAACTTAGGTTTAACGAGGACAGAGTAAAATGCACCTCGTCTTATAGTTTCGAAAGTATCAGCTGGTAACCACCGACTCCATTCTTTACTCAGTTGATCATATAACCACGACATACTTTTCCTTGGTGGAGCAAATGCTGGTGCGTAACTAAAATGACAGATTATATAATAAATAAAATTTGTTAATTGCCTTTTGAATTTTATGTAATTTTTTTGTAGTTTTATATTTTTAATAAGCTTCTAGGTCTTATCAAATTTAAATTATTATTTTACATGTATTAGTATATATATTTCATTATATGTTTTAAACTTTATAAATCTATTATTTTAAATATTTTGTAAAATGTTTAATTACAATATAATACAAAATTAATACCAGATATAGTATCATACATACAGAAACATTAAGCTTTTTAGTATTTTTATACAATATGAATAAAACTTAAATTTTAATCAAATTTCAGTAATATTTATAAATATTATGCAAATTATTTTTATATTAATTATTATTTATAAAATTCAAAGAATGTACAAATTTTATATAATAAAAAGTTATTTACAGTGATAAAATAATTGAATAATTGTTTAAAAAAATTAATATTAATAAAATTAAAAAAATGTTATGTTTCCATAGATAATATTTTTAAAAGCTATGATTCAAATTTCAATACAATCAATGTCTCTTAACAAATATATTTTTTGTAATACAAAAAATGTTTCCTCTGTATAATCAGTAATGTATATATTTTTATATCAATTTATATCAATAATTTTTCATTCAACTTATAAAAATTTTCAAATAGTATAGTACAAATGTATTTGTAAATTATAATTTTTTTTTATTTATAGACTCAACACATTTCGCGAAAATATCTACATTAGTAAAGTTAATTTTCATTATTAAAGTATTATTTAATGATATATTTTGCTTTAAACAATTTTCAAATACTTCAACTGTTATTACAATTTTTATTTAGGTAAAAACAATACTTTTATAACATAATGTATTTTATTGAAAGATTGATGCAATATTAATATATGAGTCAAATAATAAATAATTTGTTAAGAATTAACAATCAAATTAAAGAAAAATATCTTACATTCTATTTTAATTTTGATAAAAAAATTTAAAATTATGATATAATATACCTATCGACAGGACAACTCTCATGATTTCCAACAGATGGAAAAATAGGTATACCTTCGAAATAAGTAGCTATTAATTTACAAGTCACCTGAAGGTTTTTGAGATTTTCTTCTTTTGTTTGATTCCATATATCATGTGGAGGAAGATCTCCCGTCCATATAATGTAATCAATATCCTTGTAATTTAAGATTGCTTTATTTCAATTATAGATTAAAACAAATATATTGTAAAGTTTGTAACTTATTCAGTTTTAGCTATATATAAGCATTAGAATATAGTATGAATTTTATATTACTCCTTATATTCATATTAATACTTTTTTAAGAACTTTTTAATTATTCTATCGCAGCTAATATTCATTTAAAAATAAGCATTTGATTATATATAATAAATTAAATTTAATAAATTAATGATAACTTAATACGTTATATTTAATAATTTAATTACATTAATAAATAATTAAGTTAATTTTATTTAAGTATTACCATAGAATAAATACTGAAATATTAATTATAAAAATAAAAATAATAAAAATAATTTTTAACTATTGAAAAAATGAAATGATAGTTTTGATTAATCATTTATATATTATTTTTTATATAATATGTACATATTATTGATATTATAATACATAAAAATAGATAAGATAAGTATTTTACCTTATGTGTAACAGCAATATGTTGGAGTACATTATCCAATAAGCGCCTGGGTGTATCACATTTACGATAGTCACCCCATTTACCAGCGGCAGTTACATGATTTTTAGAGAATCCGTTAGTTGCTCTGCAACATAGAGGTTCATTACAATTTGCATTCGCCCCTTCCTGATAATACGGATCAAAATGAGTGTCGGAAATCTGAAGAACTTTAAGCATCGGTACATTCTCTGATGGCGGTGACTGCGGATGAGTAAGCGATATCGTTGATAGTGGCAGGTTTAACTCCCAATTGTGACGCGCATCATACCCATTTAAACATGAATTATCCAAAACAAAATTACATATTTGTGCTGAAGTCATGTCTGACAGCTTGATGATTTCCACAACATCAACCTGAAAGACATACGATATTTACCACGACAATAGAAAATTTGCTACATATTAATACAATAGTAATAAAAAACTATTTTAATTGTATTTAATTCTAAAATTCGAAGTTTATTTATAAATACTCTATAACATTTTGTTGCTTTATTAATGATTTCTATTAATTAAACTGTAATCAAATTAAAATATCTTATTTTAAGATACTTTAATAGATATTAAAAAAATTAGTTATAGAATTACTCATATAATTAAAAATATTTTCATTTCAATATAAAAAATTAATTTAAATTTTACGTTTATATGAAACTGTTATAGAATAATACAATAATTAAGTCTTTTATAATATATTTACTTCGATTTTGCATCATATAGTTCAAGTCAATTATTTGTTATTTAAACATCTACTATTATTTATAATATGCTTATTAGAATCGTTAATGGTTCTTTTGAGATTTAAAAAGTATTTCAATGAATATAAATATATGAAATTTATATTAAAAAATTAAACCACCTAATTTATTGAAAAATGTATAAAATTATCATTATTCCATTAAGATGTGATAAACAATAATGATCCTTAGTAAATTTGTTACATGAAATATTCCTATCAGATATAAGTATCATAGTAAGGATAATCAATTAATTTTTTTTATTAATTTATATTTTAAGTGAATATTATATTAATTTTTTAATATTTGAATGTTTGTCTCTAATTAGTAGGAATAAAATACTGATATCTACTAATAATAATAATTTAAAATAAAACTTATATTATTTTTAATTCTTTAATAAATAGAAGTTCAATATTAAAAAATATGTAAAAAATAGAACTTACACCAATAAGATTCATTACACCTGTACAAACTCTAGGAGTTTGAATTTGAAGAACGCTGCACTGAGTGTCAATAAAGGAAAGAATTTCTGTATCATTTTTGCCAGTTTTAATCATAAATTTAACCACATGGATTATAAATTTACATGTTAAACATGAAATTTTTGACCGAATGGAACTTTTAATTTCCTCTAATATCTGATGCCCATTGAATATTTTGTTAATCCGCTCAGTTGTATTTCCATTCTTTGTTGTTTTCTACGTATTTATAATTTATATAAAATGAATATAAGATTTTATAAATTCTATAATTTTTCAAATTGATTATCATTTTATGAGATTGATTATTGCATTATACATACTTTATTTATAAATTTACAAAGTTTAAATGTAAAAAATTATATTTTTATTTGGTATAATAAATATTTGTATACAAAAATAAAAAATCTAATTTATATAATATATTAATGTATAGTTAATATTATTATTGGTTTATAAAAAAATTTGATAAGTACAGCTTTTTAGAAATATTAATATTTGTTTACATTAAAATTAAATTTTAAAAAATAATAAAAATAATTAAGAATTAATTATTATAATTTACATTTCTTTCATAATGCATTATTTCATTTCATTAAAATAATTGACTATAGGTTTTACTTTCCACCGATGTAGACCAACATGGATAATAGTATTTACTTTTATTTTTATTCTGAATTAGAATTTAATGTAAATTGCATCTATTGATCAGTTATGCAATATTAAATTACACGAGGGTGTGCTAAGATTCAACAAATTCTACGTGATAGATTCATATAGTTTTTTTTCATTGTAATTTTATTTATTATATTAAACATATGTTTTTATTTACTTAAAACTATTAACATTATTTAATCTTCTAAAAAGAATATTATTAGTGTTAGTTAAAGAGATCTAATACTAAATAAAGCCACTGTTATAAAATTGTGATTATGAATGAATTATGGAGATTTATTTGTTTGGATAAAATAAATATATTGAATACTGACAGTAGTCAGCATTGATTTTAACATTTAATTAAAATGTAAAATACATATTCCATGTATTTACTAAATACATAGATATATTTTGATTATTCTAAAATCATAACCATTAGATTATTCTAAAATCAGATGTTATAACATTCGTGCATGACAAATCATAAGGAGCATTATAAAAACATAAATAAAATCCAAATATAGATGTAAGACATGCTAATTTATATTGTGCTTTAATAATGTGATTCTTTAATACAGGATATATATTTAAATAAATTGCGCGAGTTACTTCAGGTTTGTGATGGTAAGACAAGAAATGTTTCTCGATGTATAAGAGATGTATGACGAATAATGTATCATAATAATGCAAAACACACCGGGTATTAATTCTTTTACTGTGATGCCTAGTTTCTTACGATCTTGAACTACGGGTAGCATTAATATTGCATCTTACTTGAATTGATATTTACTTATCATTTGTATCTATTATAAAGAGCCACTTGGGTTATAAACTTTGCTATAATTATGGTGGCACATCTCTTTATGAGCTTATTCATTTTTTTTTTATATGCAGATATTTTTTATAAATTTTCAATAATATCACAAAATCGATTATTTTACACGATTTGTATACTATTTATTGTTATTACAAATAAAATAAAGGATAAACTACAAAAAAACATAAATTACAAAAAAACAAAGGATAAAAGTAAAAAAAAAATAAAAACACAAAGTTTAATGTGATAAGACAAATTTATGACTAGAAGCAAACTACGTACCCTGGTTAACCATTTGTAATCAAATACATCAGCGAATGGACCCAAAATATTTGAAGATGTATTTCGGACTGAATTATTAACATTGTTTTTTAATTCTACAATATTGTTTGTCATTTCTGTTAGTCCATTGTTAATTAAATTAATTGGATCTTTCATTCCTATGTAATAGTTGGAATTTCAATCATCAATAATTTTAAAAAGGTATTTAAACATTATATAAATAAATAGATTATTAATTTTGAATCAAATAATATTTATGAATTATCATATTTTAATATTTGCACAATAAGATAATAAATAAATATCTGTAAAGAAAATTATAAAATATGTTATAATTTACTGCATTATATCAAATATAAATATTATCAAATTCAATACAAATATTTTTATGCATTTATATTCAGCAAATACATTATTCCACATACATTAACTATGAATACATTATACAAGTCATTTTATAATATTTCTACTTTATCAGTTTAGAATTTTTTAATTAAATAAATTTAATTAAAATAAAATTTTTATTAAATTTCTTTCAATTCGTAAATAAATATTACTGATATAAAATAGCATGACATTTTCATTGAATTCATTTATTTAAAAATTTTTTAGTAATAACTATGTAATATTTTCGTAAAAACTAAATATTAAAATATTGTTTCAATTAAATAAAATTTATAAGAATATAATTTCCAACAAAAACTGTACCACTCGATATAAATTAATTGATGGAATATTTAAAAAATACATATATACATATAGATTACTATTTTAGTGTTTTTTCATAATACTAAATTACAAGAATTATATTATAAAGAACTTCAATAGTAATAAATCCACTTACCTACAATACCATGTCCTGAAATTGAAATGTAAAAGACGAAAAGATGAATATTATATAATATCCATTGATTCGACATAACTGTCTCTTATATGTTATGTAAAATCTATAAAAAATGTATACAAATTATTACTACAATTATTTACGTGAACATTTAATATGACGAGATAAGAGTTTAGTGCTCTTTTTTATTTTAAAACTTTAAATGATTTATGTTTAAATAGAATTAATATGAGGTAATCAATAATCAAACGAATCATAATTATATAATTAATATTGCTACATCTACAATATTGTTTATTACTGAGTATAATTATGAACATAATTTATAATTGATTTTATAACAAATTCATGTTTTTTTATTATTTAGAAACTTCTTTTAAATTGTTTTAAATAATAGATAAAATATCTGTATAAATAGCAAATAATGAATATAATTCCCCAAAATGCCTCAAAAATTAGTATTAATAAATATTTATTAATACTGTTATATTGTTATATTCAAATATTATTTTCCACTTTATTACACGAATATAGGTTCAATGTTCTTCCTTCTTTTATTTCAAAACACACAAATTGATTAGCACCCATTATGTATATATTTTGTTTCTTATAAACACATAACAATGCTTCGTTAAAGTGTCATGTAGTTTTTCAATTATAAACCTTATTCTATAATTATTTTTATTATTTAATAATAGTTTTCTGTTCCTTCTTCGGTTTACAATGGTGTTATTCAAACTTTAGCTTACATTTTTTCATTAAATCGTTTCATAAATAGGTATATAATTCACTTTTTTTCTTCTGCACGCTTATCTACATATTGTTCAAGTTTTTATCTATAAATATATTTAAATTTATTTATTTGTTTTTTTATTTTTAATTTAATTAATGCCTTGACTAAGCTGTTCATTCAAAATTCTAAGCACACATAATTATATTAAATGAAAACAACATAAATTTAAAAACATCGAAAATCCAATCTATTTAAAATTTTTTTTTAATATTTATATTGCCTTCTAAATAAAAATACTTTTTTACGAGATCTATTAAACATGGACACTAACATGTTATTTTTAATTCAACTTTAATTAAGAAAAATAAGACTTTAACGGACATGAAAAATTGATTACTTAAAAATAAAAGAAACTGTTATATACTAAATTTATATTGTATAGAAAATGATTCATCTATTTTAAATACATAATTGTATCTTACAATTTTGGATTGCTAAAAAAAAATAGAATATATCTTTTGCAAGTTATTAAACCTATTATAATTAATCTATTATGTTATATAAAATTTTCCATTAATCGAATCAGATATGATTTTTCATCATACCGATAACAGTATTATCGCATTTTTAATCCTGGAATATTGTAAAATAAATTTCAGCGACATCTTTAATATATATTAATAACAAGAGTGTAAATTAATTTAATTATATGAAAATTCTTTTGTTTTTCTGATTCCATTTGTAATATAATGTAAGGAAATATCAATAAATAGAAATTTGAAATTTTCATTTAATAATTTTTTTATTAAGAAAATGAACTATGATTTTATTGTAACCTGATTTAAAAGTAAATAGAATAAAATTAATAATATAGAAAATTAATAGTGATGAATACTATGCGACTTAAACGATTAATGCTAATTAAGACTAAATAATTCTGAATAATCATTTCTCTAAAGGATTTGATTATACAAGATTAGAGAAGATTTTTGCGGCTATAGTTAAAAGAATATGCAAAGTTCGAAGAAATCATGGGAAAACAATTTCAAATTAGTGTTTTAATTATATTATTGAAAAATACATAAAGTTTTTATAAATGATTTTCATGAAAAAAAAAAGTCTTATTAAGATAAAGTCGGTGCTAATTATGATATAAAACTTCCTAAAAATGTTTGGGCGGATGCATACTACAAATATACATAACGTTTTAATCAATATTTTTTAGAATTAATTTAATTTAATAATTGATTTTTATAAAGTATTATAATAATCCGAAATTATTATATTTATATTATTTTTATTGAATTAATTTATAAATAAATTAAATTAAAAACTTTTAAATTATAATATATTTTTATTTAATATCAATGCAAGTTTCCTATAAATAAAAAAAAAATTATATATAAAAATTACATTCAGATTATTATTATATCCTATAAAAAAATTATTGATTTTATGTGGATTTTGACTAAAAATTTTAATAAATAAATACTGTATACCTAAGATTTATTATTAAAACAATATTGTTTTAATAGATTAATACAAAGTATAATATATATACATGCGCGCGCGCGCGCATGTATGTATGTATGTGTGTGTGTGTGTGTGTGTGTAAATATTCTTTTAAATATAAATCAACGAATAAATATATGTACATAAGTCATGGAATATAGAAATATATTCTGTGGACTTTTTTAATTTACGAAATTAATATGATAAAATTAAAATAAAATCAAATCTGAAAAAAAGATTCTAATTTAAATTTGATTGTGAAATACCTTACAAAAAATTATAAATCCTCTAATTTATAAACAATGTATTATATACGAAAACGTATACTATTTATGATTGTATTGTATAGTGTATTTCCCATTATTACAAGATTTAACTTGTAATTGAACAGTTTCTTTAATGTCTAAAAAAACTTTCTGGAAAATAAATGGTTAAAAATTATTTTTACAAAAGAAAACAAAATAAATATATTCTACTTAAAAAGATAAAATTAAATAATAATATAATATTAACAATACAAAAAGTTTGATGCATCACCTACAATGTACAGAAGTTATACATTTCTTGTAAGAAGCCCACTAGATTCATAAAGTATAATACATAAATTATCAATGTGTAATATTATCAATATAGAATTAATAGAACTTAAGCTTAATTATATCAAAATCCACATCTAAAAAATAAGATAAAATGTATTAGTTACGTATAAAATATTAAAGAACTGAAAATATTTATTTTAATCATACATTTTATCAATATGAAGAAATCGGAATATTATTCATTCATTTATTTTATTAAATTTAATTAAAACTCACTTTTTTTAAATGATTTCAATCATTTATTTTGTATTAATTACTTACTATCCACTGATTTACTTGCATTTTGTTTCTTACAATTAAGCAATAAATATAATAAGTTATTACATATATTAAAATAAATGATTTATTGAAAAGAAGATCCAAATAATCCATAAAACAAAAAAAATGTCTCTGTGTAATTCAATTGCTATGTTTTACTACCATTACCTACTGTGATAAGACATTATCACACAGTAATATTACCTCTTACAGAATTGATATTACATTTTTTTTATTAAATTAAAATTTAAATAATTCAATTTCTATCAATAATATTCGACAGTGATAATTTTTTAAATAAAATTTAAGAGTTTCTAAAGTGCCCTCTGCTTATATATCGCATATATACACAATATGCAAATTATATAGAACTAAACAAAAAATAATTTTATTAGTCGATAATTTAACTTGCTAATTTTATGTACGAATCATAAAAGGAAAAGTTTAACTAGAAATTAACGACACATACCATATACGAAAACATTTATTTAAATATCTAGAATGGAGATATAACATTTTTTGATTTTTATAAATAATTTATAAATAAATAACAATTTTATAAATTTTATGAAATGCAAATAATTTGAATTTATTTATGATTAAATAGAATTCAATAATATTTTTAATATTGGAATAAATCCAACAAATAAGAACAATTTATTTAGGACAATAACACTGTATTATTATACTGTATTACTATATTCTAAGTATAATCAGAAATATTGTAACTGTATATATATATATATATATATAACTGCGATTACATTCCAATTAAAACATTGAGAATCAATAACTTAAGACCTTGAATACACGTGTCATAAATTAATATATCTACGTTCCCTAAATTTAGGTAACCTTCGAAGAAGATATAATAAAAATTTGTTTTTTATTAATATCATTAATTGAAACATCCATTTTCGTGGTTGAATTGAAATTGAAAAAAACCAAATTGAAACATACATTGGTCATGTATGCACTATAAGCATGTATTGATTTGTTCCATTATCGTTATTAAATTTATTATATTATAATAGTATAATATAATAAATATATAATATAATTATATTTATTATCCACGTAAAATATATATTTTCTTTAACTAGGCAAAAATTATATTTAAATATTTATTTTTTCTTCGTAAATCATTTGTACTATAATTTTTAATTCAAATGTATACATATATTTCCATTCAATTAAACAAGTGACTTAAATTTGAAGTTTAATGTGCAGTTCAG